AGTCCAGCTATTATAGAAGCAGGTAAAGAGGTAGAAGCCAAATGAATATCTTGGTTGCTGAAATAACTAATATCTAGCTCGCCATTCAGCTAACATATTACAAACAATGAAAACAAAGCCAACAGTTATAAGGCCAATTATCTCAAACTCTTAGCCCTGACATAATCAAATGGCTGCGCTATTAAAGTCACTTAGTGCTGTAAGAATGACCATTTTGGGTTTCAATGGGGATTCCTTTGGCTTTCCCAGTCAGCCTCAAGTGGCGACTTGAGGAACTGCACCTTTTTTTTGCACTTCCACTTTGGCATCTTTTTTTTTAACATTGGTGGTCAGTTCAAAACTGACTTGACCGTCTGTTGACTGACAGCTAACAAACTAAAATTGGCTGCTGCCAACTTTAGCAAAACAGTCAAGCTGAAATGGGCTAGTTTAAAAATACTCAACTAATCCCTATAATAATAGTAATCCCGCAAGGGGAAATTCGGTTTTACACTCTGTTTAATGAAAGTGAACACACTCATAGGCCGAAATACCCACACATGCACAAACAGGATCCTATAGACATGCATTAATGGAGGGGTCTCAGAGTAAGGGGGCTGTCACGGCGACCCTCCGGTTCCCAACCCAAGTCCCTACAGACTGAGCTACTGCCGACCCAAATAATAATGTTATAAAACGTTTGTGTAGTTGAAAATCGTTGGACTAAATAGCTTTAAATCACACATCCTGTTATACACCTGTGCATCACTGCAGTAAAGTAAGTAGTTAAATGACTGGAGGTCACCAAAAAACAAACTACAGGATGCTTTTTTTAGATTCATAAGGGTCCATTTTTAGTCTATGATATGACATTTTTGTCATAATTTAGCCCACAGATCACAGCGACTGTGCATGAGTTAGGTAAATGTAAGTACAGGGAAAGAGAACGAGAATATTGGAACAGGAGATTAACAACAGGCCACTTTACAGTAAATTGTATATAAAATATGTATCACTACATTATACAACTTTTATTAAATACTGAGTACCTCCTGGGAACAGAACTCGGAAACAGAGCAATTAAAATATTGCAGACAGTTTTGCAATGTACAGGATTTCTTACAGGTATCAGGGCTGTGGAAACTTTTGTACAAAACTTCGGTGTACCAGTGATGCTCCCAAAAGCACTTAAGAAATAATTTATTTCCCATTTCCTGCAAAATGCCCTATTTTTAATCCCTTGTCCCCAATAATCTTAATTTTTAATACCAATATATATTTTATTGGTACCTGATGCATTTGATAAAAACTCAGCTGTGAGTCATGACTTGCATTTTAAAGCTCTTCTGCAGAACTCTGCTTATCCCTTCAAATTCTGTGAATGTTTTCTAGTCGGTAAAACGTTTGATTTGGTTTAGATAATCAGTAAAGTATGATCACAAACATGCACTCTGAAAGAAAGACACCCCAATACCTGTGGAAATTGCACACCCACACACACACACACACACACACACACACACACATCACAGACATAGAGTCTATGAAGAGGAGACATGCAGTAAGTGAGAGTGCATTCCCATGTCTTTTTGGCTAGTGCAGTGTGTGTGTTTAATTCTGAATGACATGCAGCCTGAAGAAGAGGAAGGGGGGATGCAGGGACACACAGTCTCATCCTCACATAACTGCACCGCTACATGTACTGTTTAACAGCTCGATGTGCGTTTGCACCCACCTGCACGTACACACATGCACATCTGCACACATGCACACATCTGGCCATGGTGTATTAGGAATGCAGACGGTGTCACAGGAGCAGGGCAAGGTGCTGAGTGGCTTAATACAACCTAATGTATCCTGGCACATTAGCCTTTTCTTGGATCGAGCATCCTCACTCAACGAGACCCACTTTACCCAGCTCACACACACACACACACACACACACACACACACACACACACATTGCACCCAGACACGCTAGCACACACACACACTTTATTATACACCCAAAGTGCTAATGCTCAGATGGTAGTCATCCACAAATGTATCCGTGCACAATCAATAGGCAAAGCACATTTGTCTGAGATGGAAAACCACAGTCGTTCAAATTGAAATAAAAGACAGAAAAACTCCTCCTCCATCTGCTCTTCCTCCAGCTGGCCACCTCGTCCTCCTCTGCTCCCTCCTTTCTCTTCTTTCTTTTTTTCGTCTTACTTCATAAAGTCTCATTAGTCTTCTCTCTCTCTGTCTCTCCCTCCGTTTTTTTATATCCTCACCCTCTACCTTTACTCTCCGTCTCCCCCTTTCTGTTCTGTCTTCCAAGCCTTTTTTTTTTTTTTTTTTTAATTCTCATTCTGTGCATCTCTCCCTCTGTTTCTCCCTCTGCTTTTTCCCTTTTTAGTTGTTAATCAGAGTTGATTGGGAGCGGAGAGAGCTGAGTGGAGCTCCCCAGTGGATCAATGCCTCTAAATGATCTGTTCAAGGATCCCTTTAGAACCTGCAAAACTCGCTCTGATAGAGCACCGAGGCATGAAGGCGCTCATTTCACATCTAACTCACTTCCTGATTTGCCCTCTGGGAGAGGGATAGGACTGCCGTTATAGGGATAATTTGTCCCAAAGCTAGATATCCTGCTAACCAAGAGTGCTTAGACCAAAATGTCTTCATTCCAAGCAATCAATTACTGCCAAGGTGAGGTGGGAAGATGATGAATTTGTTTAAAAAGCTCAATCTGTGTGCGCCATCTGAGACATCAAGATTGCCCGACAACTGGGTTTGTTGATTCTCGTCTGATTGAAGACATTTTTCCGACGTCTCAAATTTACCGAGCATCAAGAAAACAAGATTTGATAACGTGCAGCGGCTGCTCTTTTAAATGTATTTGCCCTGGAAAAATTTGCAATTAAATTAGCCAAGTTGGGGGATGATGATAATGACGAGAACCATGCAGGACAAAGGACAAAGTAAGGGGGTTTCAGATGCAAAAAATGTGCACATGCTCCAAAAGAGATTTGATAAAAAACACTCCGATATCTGATTAATCTGAAACTACTCTTCTGAATATTAGACGTTTTGCTGAAGGATTTCTCAAAGTGAAATTTGAATTTTGAAAAGGCTCTCGGTTGTTAACGATGCAAAAACAGAAAGATGATCAAGTCCTGCCCTTGGGACAAATTACTTATGGATTGCTAGTGAATAAAATATCTCAAATGTGAAATATAAATACTGCTGAAATTGTATTTGCTCAGGAGGATGAAAGCCGATCTATACATAAAACAACATCTTTATGTTTTTTAAGACTTGTGTTTCAGCAAATGCTACATGTCTGAGCGCAGATTCAGTATAAGATGTCAAATATTGATTGATCACTCAGCTTTCAGACCTTTCTTTTTAACACATACTGAAAGATCACTCATACTGGAGCTGTTAACATGAGGTTGTCCTGCAAAGAAGAGTTTTGAAGGGTACGCTGGGTTAAATCCTGTATTTACCTTACTGTCAGCAAACCCCATGTAGAGACAAAAAACAACAAATAATTAATTCTACTAACAAGTGTTGTCTGTGTAGCCTAGAGGCAAATATGTGCTAACTCGTTCTTCTGTTCTATGGACATTTTTTCCATTGTCCAAACAAATTAATGAATTTCTGTTGCACTGGGGGTTCCTCCACAACCATAAACATGTTTTTTAATCAGCAACTAAAATAAACATCCCCTTAAAAACTGTAAAAGCAGTATCCAGCTGTTATGTGACATATTTTCTGCCTTTTTTTTTGATGTTGAAAAGTTTAGATTTTTAAATCTTAAAAAAAGATAAAGCCACTGAGAAGATGGGGTACGCAGAAACAGACAGGGCACATATTGTTTACATCTTTTTAAGGCATTTGTTGACAATAACAAAAATATAGAATATCTTCAGCTTTATCCCTTTAAAAAAGACGGTTTCCCTCCAGTGACTTTCCCATTGTAAACACAAGTTCAGTTTGCATGTATAAGCAACATTGGCAGGCAAACATAAACACAAACAGAGGCCTGGAATATTTAAAAAAAAAAAAGCAGCCATATGTTTTTAATGTATTGCTTTGCTTTGCTTGTGCAGAGACGGTTGAGAGGGGATTTGGGGAGCCATCGTCTCATGTATTTCCATATGTTACCTGCTTCTATTTCACAAGCTTTGTTGACTCGGTGCCAGCAGGAGGAAGAGGAATAAAAGCGAGGGAAAATACCCGCCAAAAATGGAGAGACAGTGATCTGCATGTGTAGAGAACTGAGCGGACATTCACCACGGCCCGCTTCAATACCCCGCTGTAGGGGATGGGATAGTAATGTGTGCTCTCTACCATCACACGACCCACTTCTCTTGAGTATCACATGAAAGGCCCATTCAAACACTGGAAAGAAGAAAAAGAGAGTAGATTCTAAACATGCTAATAAATCCCATGAAGCATTGCTCGCAGGGCTGTATTTGTTTCTATGCAAACTTTTGCCATTACCGCAGGAATTATTGTTGATTTTCTTGTTTATCAAGAAATTGTATTTTTGTTTTTGTTTTTTTTTAAAACCTCCTCTGGGTTTATTTTCTTACTTCCATCGCTTATGTGGTTTAAAACACATCTATCAGAAAATGTTTTGCTGAAGAGTCCTTGAGCAATGTGTTGTGTCTCTGTGGGTTGCAGTTCTTTTTTTTCCGATTCTGACCTTGGATCTTCATGTGGAAACACAAAAATGCCCTGTGAGCGAACATACAATCTGATATAATTACAGTACACAGCATGACTGCACTAAGTGGACACACACCGCAGACTCCTCTAGGCTGGGCAATCACACAGCAATCCAATATGGCTCGTAAATATTCATAGTATCATAGAAAATGTATCAGGTTTTTCTCTCAGTAAACTATTTCTGAAGCCTGCTCACCTCTTCACACTGATTGTGTGCATATTCCTGAGCCTGTTTGTTCTCATTTGTATTCATGAAGAAAAAAAGTCATTTATTTGTTTTCTTCTTTTTTTTTGTCTCGCAGGTTCTGGCACGGAGAGTACAGGGTGGCAGTGAACATTAATGACTATCTGGACATCTACTGTCCTTACTACGAGGGTCCTCCGTCCCACGGGCGCATGGAGCGCTACATCCTGTTCATGGTCAACCATGAGGGTTACACCTCCTGCCAGCACAGGATGCGTGGCTTCAAGCGCTGGGAGTGCAACCGTCCCAGCGGTCCTGATGGGCCCCTGCGCTTCTCAGAGAAGTTCCAGCTCTTCACCCCCTTCTCCCTGGGCTTCGAGTTTAGGCCTGGACACGAGTACTATTACATCTGTGGGTTCTCTGCAAGTCTTTTTGTGTGTTTTTGTGTGTTCGGGGGGGATGTATGCCTTTTTTATAAAAATGAAAAACTCCTGACAGTAACTTTCCTTAAATTCAATTTAATTCAATTCAAAAAACTTTATTTGTCCCCGGGGGGCAATTCAAAAAAAGCTCCTATGAGGAACTTTTAGTTTGTGTCGAGTTTGGCGCCCACTGTGGACAAAGCGTCCCACAGATTGTGTCCTGTACATGTGTAGGGAGTGGGTTTTTAAAAAAAATCTTTCATGCATTTAGAGACAGGACAGTTGATAGAGTTGTTAACAGGGATCAAAGAATGAGGAACGACATGCATAAAAGGAGCTGCAGGTTGGAGTCCAACTAGAGCTGCCCGCTTGAAGCTTCCATAGCCTCTGTACAAGGGGCGTGCTTATCCTTTGACCCTGTAGGTGGTGTTTTAATGATCAAAAATAATCACAGCCTGATGTCTTTCAACACTCTAATGTATCTCTCATCGTGATTCTTTGCTGTGGAGAAAATTTAAAATAAGCTCCTTCTGCAGCGAGCTGTTAATCACTTCATCTGACACCTACCCCACAGCAGCGTTTTCAGACATAAAAAGAAAACTATTAGAAATATTGAATCTTTATGCTGATGGTCTCATTTGCTTTTGTACATCGTAAAGACACATCAATATTCATTTCAGGCTGTTTCATAAGGAGCTAGAACAAAAAAACTCCTCACAGGAGCTTTAATGGAAAATGTTAAATCTCAGTGATGATTGAGATTCAGGACATGGAGAAAGTGTGCAGCTTATACCTTTGTACTGATGCTGTTGTTTGGTCGCCCTGTGCCTACGTGAGGCGTGTGTATCCACCCTCCTGCATGTGTTTGTGTATCAGCCGCGCTTCTGTTCAATATGCATTTGTAAACGATATGTAAATGTGCAATCAACAGAAGTTGATTGAGAGAGTTCTCAAACAAAGCCTGCCATGTCGCTCGCACACCCACAGGCGCTCATAAACACACCTCCCCTCCCTCTCTCTCTCTCTCTCTCTCTCTCTCTCTCCCTCGCTCCCTCGCTCCCTCGCTCGCTGTATTTCATGATGCGTCTCTCGGCTTCTGTCGGGATCATAAGTGGTGTGCTCAGCAAAGTGGTAAAAATGTCACCAGGCGTAGTTTGTAATCATTTTTATATTAGCTCTATTGATGTTTCTCCTCACTTCAACAAGTGATGTATTAGTATCACAGATGGGTCTAACCCCCTGAGACTGTTTTTCTGAACCGACTAAAAAAGATATCATTCCACCTCCAGGCAAGGGACAAATAGAAGCCTCAAATTACTCTTAAACATTGTTTTCAGCTGCTCGCTGTGCCAAGCGGGAGGGATAGATTTACCGCATCCGGACGCTTAAGTCTAAGATCAGTGAGTAATCACAGAAAAGCGCATCAAATTGACTTTCAAAAGTGTTTCTGTCAATGTCCAAACTTCCTGGTGCTGCACGGAGAAGTGACACTTGTTTCGACATGGAGGCTGTTAGATGTGTGAGGCTTCTTGTGACAAGTTTTTTTTCCTGTTAGAGACCAGCTGGGAAGGACAATGATTCACAAGAGAGAAGACAGTCATAATTCACACAATCAAAAGAGGTCACTTGTCAAGAAAATGTCGGCCCATGCATGGTTTGTGTTTGAACAATAGATTGTATTTCAAAAGTGGACTCAGCTTCTGTGGTGTCATCGAGTTTAACTTCTTTTTGGAACCTCAAGTTCAGTATTTGGGCGCTTGTTAGGTCTCTATCCTGGTTGACAGGTCGCCGTAGCAGAAACATTTCATCCACAGGTTAAAGGATAAAGTATATCTCTTATGGCCACACGGTGCCAAGGAAGACTTAGCACTGGTGATTGAGACCATAAAGATTTAAGAACAATAATACTGAGCAGATCAATCAACTCATATTACTGTTGGTTAACACTGTATATTCTAGAAACTCTTTAAAACCTGTACAGTCGCCCCCTGCAGGATTGCGGTTATATCCACCTCGCCCTTGAAACTAAAATAGAGTCTAAAATAGTCCCATCAGGACCAACAAATCACTGCAGATAGATTGTAAATTTGAAAAATATTGTGGTCTTTAATGTAAAGATTTCTTGCGACTCACCTGAAGTACCTTCAAGGCCCATCAGGGGGCCACAGCCCATAATTTGTAAGTAACTGGTCTTTGGTTTGGACAAAAAGTCAAAGCAACCTGGTAGCTACTCAGTTTTGTCTGTAGATTGTAATGACAAGCGTTATTTGTTAGAAAGAGTCTTCTTTGCGTAGTTCAGTTTGAGCTATACTCTCTTAACGTCATCCCAAACTCTACCTGTCACTGATATCTTTTGTGCAAAAGAAAAATTGTCCTCCTGCAGACGAGGAGCACAGGTCTCTTCAATTCTCCCTGGTGTTACAACTGCACAGTCGGCTGAAACTGACCTTAACCTTTTTAGTAGGTGATGATGCATTCTCACCATGGTCATAATGGGATGAGGATCCTCCGCCACCAGACGGTGGAGCTGACCTTGCAGCAATATTCTCCTCTTTCAGAGAGAGAGAAAGGAGGAAGCAATCAGCCTGGCAAAATAGTTTCCTTGACGGATAATGACACAGGTTTGGATTCAATTTGTTGAAGCATAACAGTGGTCAGGCTCTTTCTCTGATGCCGCAGAATAAGTAAAAACCAATATAATGCGGTGGACTGCTGAATTATTGAGAGGGATGATTAAAGAGAGTCTATTTGTCAAGAGAGTAACTTTCAAAAATGAGAACTAAATAACTGCAAATATTCCGCTGCACCGGTTTGTTGTCGGCACTGTAACAAAGACACAGCAGGCAAGAGTCAGAGCGCTAAAGAGGCGAAGATAACACCGATGTCCTACTGCATTTTTCCCAGTTGGCACGCACACACACGCACACACAAAAATACACTCTTTTGTTTTCAGTCTCATGTAAGGATGGACAGGGCCCCTCCAGAGTTGTATAGTTGCTGACTATAGTATTGTGTTTCTGGGACCCCTGAGGGTAGAGTATATTCCACCAGATTGGAGCGTGTGTGTGTGTGTGTGTGCGTGTGTGTGTGTGTGCGTGCGTGCGTGTGTGTGTGTGTGTGTGTGTGTGTGTGTGTGTGCGTGTGCGTGCGTGTGTGTGTGTGTTGTGTGAGGGGTGGGCTGGTTGTGGGGTCAGTTGTCAAGCAATTGTGTGTGTGTGAAAGGCCATGTCAATCATCTTGAGTGACAACCTCACTTGTTTTGTGCCTCACTGTTGCTCTCTCTCTCACACACACACACACACACACACACACACACACAAACACACGTGCGCGCACACATGCACAGGTCAGAAATGATGTGGAACAAAGGCATGTTGACAGTTTTAACCATCCAGCCCCTGTGATGATTGTGTGTGTGTGTGTGTGTGTGTGTGTGTGTGTGTGTGTGTGTGTGTGTGTGTGTGTGTGTGTGTGTGTGTGTGTGTGTGTGTTTCATCCGAGTAGATTCGCTTTAAAATTAAAACTGATCGATCCTTTGATGACAATGTGGGGCCAAACCTGTGTGAGTGTGTTCCCATACATGTCTGCAGGCTGGTGTGCGTGTGTTTGTCATGTGGCTGACATGTTGACAGGTCGGCTCCGCCCCTCACTTCTCCCAGCTGCCACTTGATGAGGTTGAGTGATTTTCAATGGGTTTTCAGAAGACGTCGGATTGTGCATACGCTGGGAAACAGAGGTGCTGGGAGAGCAGATATTTGACTCTTAAAACAAAAAATGTTTTCACAAGAGGGCATGTTGAAAAGACAAACTAATATTTTCTACTTTTATTCTCTTTTTTAACCAATTTGACTTAGTGCTTTCCATAGAAAAACAGGTATAGGACTATATGGGTTGGTTTGTATGAACCTTTTTACCAGCCTTTTCTACCAGTATTGTCGCCACTTGTCAGCGAAACTGTAGGGAATCTGAACAAAGACACACAACGGGAGAAATAGCTCCATCCAAAGCTGTTAAAGCCTCATAGGGGACCACTTTAAACTTTCTGGGTTTTTTTTTAGGAAGGTAGGTGGATGATTTGAAGAAAAGTGAGGCAAAAGAAGTGGACTATAGGGACGCCATGAAAGAGTAGAGGAGGTGAAGGGCACATAGATGGAAGGAGGGAGGAATGGTGTGGAGAAAGAGAGGGGAGGAGAGGGCACAGGGAGGGTCAGATTTATTTCCTGTGCGCTGTGGATCCTGATGATGGTGCTCTCCTGGGTCACTGTGGGCTCTGACGATGCGGACTTCCTCAAGGGAGAAGGCCAATAGGTCTCCACGCACTCTCCTGAAAGCACCAGTGTGTCTTTTTCACATCCTCGTATCTGAGTGTGTGTGTGTGTGTGTGTGTGTGTGTGTGTGTGTGTCTGCATGCACGAGCGGTCAGAGTGTCAGTCGTCGTCTGCTTTTAAGGTCTCCAGTTCTATTTCACATCAGAGCGAGGTGGGACTAAAAACCCAGATTCAATTTCATTTACTCCACTTTGAAGTTTGAATCACAGACACTTTTTAACATTTTCTCATTTTTTCGGCATTCAGCCGGGGCGGCACGGTGTCTCAGTGGTTAGCACTGTCACCTCTCAGCAACAGGGATCTGCGTCTGTGGGGAATTTGCATGCATTTTATTCCCCCCCCCCACCTTTCCAAAGACATTCGAGTCAGGTCGATTTTAGAAAAAGCTTGTATTTCCCTTTAGGTGTGAGCGTGACTGAATCCCTCACAGACTTGTTTACATAGCCTGAAGTGCTAACAATGTTTACGGGAGTTCACAAGCTCAGGAGCGTGGGTTTAAGAGAACTTAAAAGGACATAATCTAAGAAACTCTATAACCGCTCCAAGCAATAAATGTCTTACAGAAAGTAATGGGCTGCTTTAATGACTACATTAATGTCCAATTACAACAAATTACCCAGGGTTAACTTACAGAACAAATACCTTCCCTGCTTTATGACTCCATTTAATAATCAACTTTGACAGGTTTGCTTTATGTTAATTACAATGGAAAGCTCTTCTTTATTTCACTGTTATAATTTTTATTTAAACAAGACAAAAAGTCAACAACAGTCAGTATGTCCACGTCAATAGAAGTCAGCCTAAAAGCCCTGCAGACATTAAAAGAAGATTCTCCACTGAATGTGTGCAGAATAGTAATATTCACTGTATCAGTTATTTTACTGGTTCTTCCTGCCATCCTATAAAAAAATTTCACTATGGTGAGTTCAAACACATGTCATATGGAAATTTAAACAAAAAAATCAATTTGTTTGTGGGATAGATATCTAATTAATGCATAAAGGTATTTAGCTTCGCCCTGCATAATTATTTAAATCTCCTGTGGGGATTTCTTTTTACAGGTTATGAAACAGACTGGAATGAATACTGATGCCTCTTTATGACCTCAATAAAGCAAATAAGACCATCAGCATTATTAATGCCTGAAACTGTAGCTGCCTGGTGGGTGTCAGAAGAAATGACAGACAGCAACAGAAACAGCCCTCATTTCACCATACTAATGATTCTTGATGAGGGACATGTTTGACGGTTAAAAGAAAGCCGGATGAGTTTGTTTGTAATAAATAAGAAAAAAAACGACTTACAATCAGTGAAAAAGATAAGATGCACTGCTTTGTCCACTGGGGGAGCCAAAATCGACGCAAACTAGAATTCCTTACAGCATCTGACAAAAAAAAGTGATGTAATTCTTTCTATTATTATTTGAGACAAGTTTAGAAACCCGTTATTCATTTTGAAAACTGTGGATGTTGTACATCGATGTCGATCTGCCTTAAACTACAATGCCCATGTTTGCCCAAGATTTACGCCTTTTATATGTAACAGTGTCAGTCGCAGTTTTTTGTACATCAATAGAGGTCTATAAAAAGAATGATCCATAATCAGGCTTTAGCTTCATATCAAATTATTTGTGTGTAGACTTCATTCATTATTGGTTATTGTTATTTAACGGGCAAGAAAAAAAATATGAACATGGGTTATTACATTTGGCAGCACACACCATGTGTGAAATAAACTCATTAAGGACAATGTTACTCACTTAATTTGTGTTTACTTGTAGCTGAAAGTAATACAGAAAGAAGAGACAGCTGGGAGATAGCAGGTAGCCAAATCTTATTTCTGCCCCAGGGCTATAAAGCATTATAGCACTGTCTCTTTAAACTCCCAGTCCACCCAACCACCTGATAATAAGCCTCGCAGCACTCAGGGAGGGAACAAGATTTAACAAAAAATATATTAAATGTTTTCAATTACTTTGGGAGTGCAATGAGCAGCACAAATCGCTTCATCTCCCAACTAATCTCCTCTTTCAATCTCTCTGCTTCTTACAGCGTCTCCTCACCCAAACCATGTGGGGCGAGCATGTCTAAAGCTGAAGGTGTATGTCAGACCTCCAGGTAAGTCACGCTCTGACTACACACACTCACGCACACACCAGCATGCACACGCTCACTCACACACACACACACACACACACACACACACACACCACACACACACACACACACACACACTTAAAGGTCCAGATTGGCTATCAAAAGTAAATTAGAGGGAATAAGAGGTCTGATAGAATGCCCCGGCAACACTCTCTGCTCTGATTCACAGAGCAGCCAGGCAACACTTCAACACCTCCACACACACACACACACACACACACACACACACACACACACACACACAGACACACACACACACCAATGAAAACACACACACATTTTGATATATCCACGCAGACTATGAGACGCATGCACACAGGCACAAAGTGGCATACGCACTTCACATCAAATCACATCACATCACTCTGGGTGTGAGGGAGACCTTCTGTCCTTGCAGAAAGAGAGCAGAGCCGGCTGAAAGTGCTCTCTAAAAAAAAAAAAAAAAATGTAACCAAGCCTCCACGTTACTCTGCCAAGCTTGAACCGCTCATAAGAAACGAGTAATCAAATAATAACACCCAATGCATACTGTAGAAGCCTAATCTAATAATAGGCACTTCATATGTTTTAATGAAATTCCTCCGGCTGTGTCAGACTTGTGAAAAAAAATGAAATATGTTTGCCTTTTTCCAAGCAGAATTCAACTTGGGAAATGTTGTTTATTGCACCTTCTTACATAAGTGTTACAGTGTGCCTATGATTGAGCCACTTAAAATAACCTAACAGAAGGGTGTAAAATACATGGGAATCAAACTACAGCAGGCACTATGCTACACTTGTGCTATCTTTAGAAAAATCTACCTGTAAGTCTTGTCAAAGGGGGGATTCTACCTAATGCCTAAAGAGCAACTTAAGAGGAAACCAGGTACCCGCTCATCTTCCCCAGATAATGACACGGCTTTGAAGATGTTAGCAGAAGGATGAGAGTCGGCCTTTGCAGCTTTCCAGGCTCAGATCATTCCACATTGCGCTAAAGGGGAGGGGGGGGAGAGAGAGAGAGAGAGTCTCTCCTCCTCCATAATTACTGAAACAACATACGTTCTTTTCTTCTGACATTCCTGCAGCTCCTCTCTGCAGATTCTGCTCTTAAAGTAATCTGTCTGACATTGCAACTTCCATCTCATCTGTGAAATATTGTCACTGGGGTGAGCTGTGAGCGGTTGCATATGTGTGTGATTGAACGTGTGTCTCGGCATATTTGTGTGTGTGTGTGTCAGCTGCTCCAGATTCCGAGTCTGTGTGATTAAACTGTAATTAGGTTGGTTAAACCCCCCTGCAGAGCTCTGTTGCTGTCGACTCCCCCCCTCCTTCCTCTTTCCTACCCTCATCCTTTTTCTGACATCCCTTCTGCCTTTCCTTTGCTTTTGACTGGTTTGAGAATTGTGGTTTTGTCACTCTTTTCCACACTTCCCTTTCTTAACAGTTCCACTTTTTTTTTTTTGTGTTTCTTTAAATCAACTCCCTCATTTTTTGTTGTTGTTGTCTTTGATCTGTCTGTGTGTCTTCCTCAGCACAGATGTTTTGTCGTTTCTCTCTTCTCTCCGTTTCAGATGGGTCGGGATACGATTCTCCTGAGCCCTTCCTGACTGACGGAGGTCCAAGCTGGAGGCCAGGAGGGTCCGTGGCCCTGTTAGCAGCCCTGGCCTCACTGCTCCTGGGCCTCTTCTCCTGGGTGTGACCCCCTCCAATCCCTCCTCTCCTCTTCTTCTTGGAGCTCCCACCCTGAGGTCGCTGGGCTGGGCTGGCTGTCCCTCTTTTAATCCACCACCCCTCAGGGAAGCCCTCTGTCTCTGTCCTCCCACCTTCCACCTCCTTATGCGACCACCAACCACCCCCACTGCCAGCCCTTCCCATGCCCAGCCACGGACACACTTTCCAGGCCTGGCTGAGAGGATTTTGGTCGTTTTTGGAAGCTTCCCTCCATCTCTGATCCCAGATTTCTTGGGATGAACAGCACCTCTCAGCTGAGAAACACAAGGGAAATGTCTCTGCACTCATATCAGGGGGTCCTTTTTTTGATTTGACTATTGACTCCTGGCGGCTGATGGGGTAGATTTAGCCACAGCTATGATTAAACTTGTCGTTCCAGGGCAAATTCCTATCATGCAATCACGGCAGGATGCATTAAGCGACAGGCCTGGATGCACAAAAATTGGATTTTTTCTCCTATTGCTGTCCCATTGTCAAACCAAGAATTGGAGGTGGCCAAGCTTGCATTGTAATTGAAATTCTATATTATCTGGACCTTTTCCAAGTCTGCAAGGAGCAAATGTACAGAGATGAAGAGGAGAAGAGTGACCCGAGCTGTGCAGAAGAGAAAGCGAAAACCAATGCGGGCACAGATTTGAATGGCCGTATGGGAAATGTAATATTATATGTGTTGATATTTTAGGAGCAGTGTAGACTCACAGAAATGTGATATAAAAGAAATCACAGTTTTATTTTTTATGAGAAACTCAGATTTCACATTAAAATGACAAGTATAATCATAGGCTGGTTCAGTGGGAGGGTGAGGGGGTGGGTGGGTGTTCCGGGTGGGTTTTTGATGAGGTGTATATTTTCAGGTGGGTTGTGTTTTGTCTTATTCATGTTTCTAAACAAAGCATTTATCACAGCCTGGACACACAGGCTTAATTCAGCACTGTCTAATGTCTCGATTGGGTTCGGGTGGCGTTTGGAAAAGTGACTTTCTTATGTATGAATGTACCACTGGTAACCCACTTCTTTGTGTTTCTGTATTATTACAACTGTGGTCACTTACTTCTATCGGATCGGTGGGGATTTTGAGGGGCTGGAGGGGGCGGGCAGGAGGTGGGTGACGTAAGAGCGAACGCGGCACGGGCGAGAGAAAAGAAGGAGGCGACACTCAAGTTGCATGACCACTGTGAATCCTTCAGATCAATCTCGTTTGTAATGATGATATATTTTTTCATGGGGGAAAAATCAACAAAACACCCTGCTACCGCTCTCTTGCTCTCCCTGGGACTTTTTTTCAGACATCAAAAGAGAAAAAAACCCTCTCTCCTCGCACCGTTTCTCCCTTCGTTGGTGGATTAGCTCGAGGGAGGCCGGGAGATAAATGGACCCAAAAGGTGAAACTGAGTGGAAACCAGCCCTCGGAGCCAGGGGCCGGATCACGATGGACGTAAACACAGACTGAAAACTGGTCCCGGGTCTGAGGGTTAAACCAATAAGGGAAAGCACATAGACTGTGGCAAACCAGGCGAGGTGTATGTGTGTGTGTGTGTGTGTGGTAGCATCATAAAAAACACACATGCACGCACATGCTCACACACACGGACATAACTACCGTACACACATGCAGTCTTTGATAACAAGACTGTTCCTCTGAGACTGTGGGAGCATTCATGGACACGACTATAAAGGGAACAGCTCAAAGAGAGGTGGTGGTGGGGGGGGAGCACAGGGGTGGGTGGGAGGGGAGAGAAAGTGTGTGTGCATCATGGGACTGAGACTTCTTTAATGTTGGGAAGTGAACATTATGAGCAAGCACTGTGAACACACACATACATACACACATGTACAGATAAACACACACAAGTGCAGACATATGTAGAAAAGCACATGCAGACCTAGACATTTACAGAGACATGGCATGCACATACACACATGTACAAAGACACACACACATGCACACACACACACAAACAAAAGGGAAGCACTTCCTTCCCTGTTTCATCTTATTTTTGTAGCATTTAAAATCACTGTTAATTACTCCTGTGTGGGATGCAGTGATGGGGTCTAGCCTGTGGAAGATTAAAAAAATGTGTTTTCTCTTCTTCTATTCCACTGATGCTGTCCTTCTATCGTTCTTCTTCTTCTCTGGTTTGTGATCCATGGTCGGTAGTGGTAGGTAGGAGGCCTCCAGGTCTGAGCGTCATGTATGAGTTTGTCTTCTTTTTTTCTGTTTGTGGTGTTTTTTTGTGGATGCTGACCTCAGTCATTAAAGTCAGTCGAGTCAAAAGTAAAACACAGACGTCAGAGCAAGGAGAGAAACACACAAATAAAGATTGTCTTTTTGTCTACTCGAAAAAAAAAACCAAGCCAAGTGGAATTTCTTCATTGCAATGAATGTGAGTTCATTTTTCATCTGTTGTCTTATTTCCCCCTCCTCCTGATGATTGTATTCGTGCGTTAGTCTGCACCACCTGGGTCATTATTTTTTGCCGTGTCTATCATCTTCTGACGTCAAAAGTCCTGGGACGGAGCGCGTCGAGCTCTGCCAGTCAAAGCATGAAATTATTCAGATGAAATCAGCCTCTCCAATCTTCAGCTGTTTCTCCCTCAGCGATGTGACAGCTAATCTGAACCCCTGACAACATGGAGGCTGAATAGCTCGATAGCCTTTCCTCTCTGGTTTCAATCAGATTTTCAGCACGGTGGCCCACCATGAAAGGAAAGCACATTTACTCAAGTACGGTTCTTCTGTACCCACTTTGAGGTACTCGTACTCTTCTTCAGTTTTTCTTTGGGCAGCTACTTTCAGCTTCTTCAACTCTTTGTTTCTGTAGGAAATTTGGACTTTCACTCCGACTAAGGCATTTTACGGCTCTGTTGTTTAATTCTATTTTTCACCATCTAATAGCACTTCCTCTCATTGCCCTGCTGAACACTGGTTGGAGGGCCTCCCAATTGATTTTTGCGTAGGGCCCCGACAGACTCCAGAATCTCCACTGAACAGGTGGATGGACATGCTCTTACAGACATCTGCAGTGATTTAAGGTTTCAACTCAAAAAGCCTGGAAACCACCGGTTAAATCTTGAATTTATCATCGACTTGCCATCATGTGTTTTTTAAAGTATAATCTCAAAAGTTACTGGTAAAATAGAGCCGTAAAAAGCCTTAGTCGAAGTGAAAGTAGTATGATTAGATTATGATTAGACACTCCTTATATTTGCTTGACAGTATTGGATGGAACTGCATAAATTAATATTTGCTTCTGCAGATTTTCTGAAACTTTGGGTAAATATTTGTGCCACATTCGTTTCACTTTCATTTCGGCCATTATTGCCTTTGTTGGATAAGACAGATGTCATTCCCCATGCTCTCTCCCCAAACGCAACTCTATCCACTGTCCTGTCTCTACAAAATAAGCCCCCCAAAAATATCTATTTTTAAATCGTCTCAAAACTACTCAGATTTAGTTTTTACATTTTGGATGGGAACCACTGGACTGTACATAAGTATAAACATAGCTCCACCTGCCATTACAGTAAAACGCTACCCACACGTTGATACATCATTTATAATAGTGATGCTTAAACTCAATGTAATATATAATAAAAGGCCATTAAATGACCATTTCCAACAAAATAGAACTATTAATACTTCTATCAAATTTGAGTTTTTATGGTTTTCATTGTATTTAAGAGAAATTTCAGATGCATAGCTTTTTCTTGTAATAGAGTGTTTTTGAATTGGAAAAAAAAAAAAAAATCAATCACTTCTTCCCAATAATTACACAGACTCTCCTGAAACTGGAAGGTTTGATCTGCCACACCTGTGCCTATAAATAGTCAGGTGTCCTTGAGCTAATATTACACGCTGGTGAAGCCCTGAGGGTGAAATATTTAAAAAGTGAATATGAAATGTTTCCTCAAAAGGTTTTTTGTTCCCAGATCTGGACATGAATCGACAGGTAGACAATAGAAACGTCCCCCTTTTGGGACGTGTAAGGGCCAGTTCTAGCTTGAAACATTTATCAGGCCTGTTTTAAAAGCGCCATTTGAAACTTGTCTCTTTTGGGCAGTGTGATCCGAGATGAATATCAGAATCATTGTTTTTTTGGGGAGGGAAAACTGAGGAACATGAATAATAAATGAGCCTTTCTTTGCTTGCCGTGCTTGGCCCTCCTGTGCAGAGCTGGCTAATGGCTATCGATGTCTCTAGTTTCCATCAAATTGCTTCATATAAGAGTTCAATTTAAATGGAGAAAGAGAAGATTCCAGTGTAAAGGAGACAAGGGAATGAAATTATCTCTGAATATTGAGACGCACATGCTCGGTCGGCCAATTCTTTGTCCTTACAAGTATCAGGTACCAGCCGAATTATCCTAACGTAAAATTAAGCCCGACCAAGCAGGGCCTCGAAAACGCTTCCCACCATGTCTCAATCCTTGTGAGAGGAAAGATGGATGTGTGATACAACTGGAACGGCGCCAGAAATGAACAGATGTGCTGCTTAGAAATCATGAGAAACTAGTGATCTGGGCTGTGTCACTGACACCCCCCCCCACACACACACACACACACACACACACACACACACACACTCTCTCACACACACACACACATTACACTATTTTATCCCTGCGTATTCTCCTCCAGATTCCATTAATCACTTGATTATTTCAGCTATTTTCATTGGCTGGCGTACATGCAGGGTAATTATTGGCAAGAGTATATTTGGCCTATATGTTGTTGATTTTGGCAACAACCAAAAAGACACACCAGGAAATGCAGATGGCGACCTCCCTCCTTTCTTTCCCTCCTTCATTTCTGTCTCTTCATCTCTTCTTCTGTTGATTTCTCACTCTCTCCGGGCACATTATTAGGCTATAGGCTAATGCACTCTCCCCTCTCCTCTGTACTTTTGTCTCCTCGTATTCAACTAACCGGCATGATTTAGGAATTATGGAATTAGGGCAGCGCTCCCATCTCTATTAATGAGGAACAGCATGATGAAAGAGCTTGATCCTGAACGTGCCATCTGTAGTCACTATTACACATTCACTTAATCTATCTCTCTTTCTCACTCTTCTTTCTATTCTTTCCCCTTCCTTCCTTCCTTTCTTCCTCCCTCTCTCTCTCTCTCTCTCACACACATCCTCCGTCAGACACACTTACATTATAACTCAGCTGTAATTACAGAGGAAATACTAATTCTGAGCTCTTCAAGCACTGTTGGATGTGGCGTGAAATGGTGAAATGGCACGGCAGGAAAGTTAACTATGGACCACACACCCCTGCATAGACACACACACACACACACACACACACACACATGCAGGAGCCCAGATGGACTGTGTGTTATTGCTGAATAATGCATGCTATGTAGACTCTATAAAAGATACATGGGCGGAGAGAGCTGGGCCTGGGCACCAAGGGTAGTTTGGTGAGGGTAGCTCCAGAGAATCCCTTGTGCAAAGTTGAAGTTGTCACCAAATGTTCAGCTTGTAGATATTTAGCTTTAGGTGACCCAACAGGGAAAAATATTAAGCCTCAGTCTGTAAGAGTGAGGAAAAAAAACAACGTGCCTTTTAGACATAGTCAGTTGATATGTTGGCTGGCACTCAGCCCAGTGTCTTTGCAGTCACCTTGAGCTGGCTTTTGTGGTTTAAACTATAAAAACTTGGGGGAATTACAAAGCAGAGTCAATGCTCGAGGTTCAGATTTCAGAGCATCTCTCAGAAACACTATGAAAAATATCCAGTGGCCTGTGTTCATGTTAAACAGCCAGCATTGGGGGTGGGGGCGGGGGGTGGAGGTCCGGGTGAAGGGTAAATGCTGCACTCCTGTGGGGAAAACGAGCAGCGCCTCTTTTCCTCTGGAGTCATATGACGGGACATGCGCAGCGTCATGTGCGGCGTTCAAGCGCTCATCCAGAGTTGAGAACGACAGCTTGAAATACAGCTACTCAAACTAAATCACTAAAAAATAGTGGGCGAAGCATAACGTGCTTATAACACAAGCAAATGCAAGGGACGGGAACAGGGTTGCGCAAGTAAAACATTTTCCTCACAAATGTACAAATAAAAGAGAGAAAAACATATACATTTTACCGCAACCAGGTTTTGTGGCATACACTTCTTACATTGTAATTGACAAAGAACAGTTTTAGGCCTAAATGTAGGATATAAAAGTACAGTATGGGGACAGCACGTCATTACTTTAAATTGAATTAAGTTTATCCTGGAATTGTTTAATGAATGCTTTTTAGTAAAGCATCTGACAGTTTCTTCCATCTGTACAAAGTAAGTTCGCATGGTTTCCGCGTTGGGTTTTTAATATTTCCGACTGCACTTGAACGCACCAACCGACACACTTCGGACGGCCAGACGGTTGAAACCACTGAAGGAATCCAGAAGTTTGAAAAAAGTCCAACTTCGCACACCCTTGAAGAAGGAGGAGTAACAGGGCTCATTTTCTTAACAAGCAGGCTTAACTGTAAGTATTGACTCACTAGATAAATATCTCCCTCCCGTTTAACTCCTCCACACAGTTGTTTAAAGTGACGACGAAGGGTGGTTGACAGGAAAGCGGAACTAGCTCCCCCAGTGAGCTAACGTAGCTACAGTTGCCCCCCCAGTGGATCCCCACTGCCTTGTTTACGACACTTTGAGCACGACAGGAACTTTTAAAAACAATGTAAGACAACTTTAACCTGTTTTGACAGACTTCTCGAAACTTAACCTTCACTTTTTCCCAACTCTTTGATAAAGTTTTAAAGTGTTATTTGGTGTTTTTTTGGGGTGTGGAAGACGGCTGTGTAGTGCTTAGTAACATGTTGGTCATTCAGCCCAACGTCACGCTGTTTATCAAGGGACCCTCGTCAAGTAACCTGGTCGCTTAGCTCTTAACAGTGTCCCTCTGTTTACAAGGTTACCTAAGTCATGTGTCTGGAGACAGTGCAGTTTTAAATGCAACAGCGGAAATGACTAACCATCTGTCATATTTTCTCTTGTGTCATCAGTAATGACTGACTGTAAGTGAGTGAAAATGGTTGAAACTTGAATTTATAACCCATTAAAAATGCTCTTAAAGTAATAAAAGATCATGGTAAAGGTTTTGACTTTACAGTATCAGAGATCACAGCCTAAAAAATGTGTAAAAAAAAAAAACTTTCCACTTATACAATATCAAAGTCCCTTCATGTTTCAGGACTGGCTGTAAATGGGTGAAAATGTGTGAATAGTAGCCTTTGTATTAAAAAAAAACCCATCAAGATGGAGGACAGGGGGACAAAAAGAAAAGACACCAGTGAGATCTGGAGGAACAGGTTTGGGTAGAGGAACGAGAAATGTATTTCCCTGTTGACACTTGGATGTTGCTGCTGTGAAGACATTTAAACATGAGCGGGTACGTCCCTGTTAAGGCTTGTTATGTTATCCCTGCTGTGGTTGTAAATATATATCTTTATATAAAGTCTATGCTGTGAACACATGTACACACGATTGTTTTTGTTTCATAACGATGACTGATTAGAGCTCTCAAGAACTGTCGTCAATGTTGTACTTTGCCTCTGGTCACTTCCTGTCAGCACCTGTGTTTCCAATCGGACTCAAAGCTGATCGTTTTCCTCTTACTGACATTGTTCCCTTTTTTTTTCTAGATCCTTGCTTGTGTTGTACTTACTCTCTGATGTACGTCGCTTTGGATAAAAGCGTCTGCTAAGTGAATTGTAGAATTGTAGAATAGTGTGTTGTCAAAGGAAGCGCTGTGCCGTGATCGAGTGTTAGGTGTGAAAATATAGGGCTTACTGTTATGTGATGACAAGCTTAAATTGTAACGTGAAAACTATAGTGTTTTCCCAAGTGTGGCTTCAGTGTAACTGTCTCATTACTAAATCATGAGGGTAAATCAATAATCCAGCTATAGACGTCTGCTTCACATGGAACTGATCTTTTATTTTTGACATGTTAATCTGCTTTTGTTGTGGCGTGGTATTTCAAAAGAGCACATTTTGTGTGAGAGAATTCTCTTCACTGTTTTCCATTGTAAACTCACATCAGTATCTTGCCAAGTCCAATAATCAGTTTGCAAAAGCAGTCAAGCCTGTGTGAACCAAGTGCCCTCTTTCCAAAAGACATAAAACCCCATGAAAAACGCAGAGTCAACAACATTCAATCTTCTGAACTGTCTGCCAAGTAGACTATCCATTTTCCTTGTCTTCTTTTTTTTTTTTTTTAAATCCGGATGTTTAGTTGGTGGTGCAGGTATGAAAGGGAACTTGAAGTTCAAGGATTATTTGGAAAAACAAAAGACGAACTTGAACTTTAAAGGAAAAGATGATGACAAGAAATAAGGAAAAGGAAACAGGAAAAAAGCAGAGTTTCCTGAGTGTTGGTGTCTTTTGAAAACTTAGAGTTAAGGCAGCGTTTTGTGTTTATGGTTAGTGGGCTCTGTCCTTGAATGTGCACTCTCCCTGCATCACAAAAAAACAAGCGTACGTTTCTCTGTGTGATGATCTTGATCTCATGTTATGTCATACACCAAAAGCTGCCATTCCAACAATCTTTTCAGTGCATCATGTGATGCTGGACTGCATGAAGGTCACTTATTTCACAAATCAGATGTAGGTTGGATTTGTATCTGGTAAACCGCTCTGCATGGATGCACAGCACATGCTGTGATCAGAATGTATCTCTAATGGATTACCTGGATCAACACAGTGAGACACACATATTACTGTCTGCTTCTGCCTGTCTGTGGTGTTGAATTCATTGGAAACCAACACAATATAGAACAACTTCTCCTGGGGAAACTCAAAGTGTTATTGATGTTATTGATTTGTCTGGGTTCCTTCTATAGCCCTGTTCTTACCTCCCTCGTCAAATAGGGCCATTAGTCTCTTTTTGAAATGTTTGAAAATAAACTGAAGGCACAGAAAATTGTTCTATTCACAGTCATAAATGGACCAGAATCAGTATTACCTGCTGCTGGTGGTTCACCATAAACGCCTCTCAGTGACACATCCACACCTCATAGCCCTCCTGCTGTTTTACTTTTTCTGCAAGTTAATGAAATCTTATATTTTAATCTGAACCCAGAGCCGGCACGGAGCTGTCAAAATGTGAGCACAATTAGTAGAGTTACTGAAGTATCTGTGCCTTTTAAACTGTGGCTTTAATTGCTTTGTTTTATTGTCCTCTAGTATCCTATTAAGCACTCGGACTTTAATGTTAGAAATTAAAGTTGAACTCTGGTTTTTGAATGCCCTGCATTAAGCCATTTTAACAGAAGAAGCAAGTTTGCTGGCCTCTCATTCTTTCAGCCAATTAAGTAGGAACAGTGTATCCCCTCTGCAGGAAGATAGTCCCTGTATCCAGATCAGAGAGACACAAGTGAGCGTGTACACTTTATCATTGTGGTAACTTAAATCATCAAATTTGGTGAAATTCATTATCTTGCTGTATTATCCAGTACTGCCTTTGGATAAGATGTATGATTATGATTTTGGCACGAGAGGCAGACACGGAGAGAAAATCGATCACTTTTATTGATCCGTGTTCAGGCCATGTAGGGAAGTAATGTTCTAATTTATCATGACGCCATTTGTTATTGATAAAGTTCATTTTTCTATATTCTGTAGGGAAGGGATTATAATTAACACCTGGCAATGGCAAATACAGGGGGATTGCCACTGCTTGTGGCAGAAAAAAAAATGCCCTCTTGTCATCATTACATTTTAGTAAATATATAATATATATGTTTGTTGGTTTTTTCCTATCTTTAATTTAAGAAAAGTGTTGGCTTGTCTATAGCACTCTTCACTATTCAAATAGGAGCATTACAAAGTTTAAGAGGCCGGTAGAAATATTCAGTGACCTGCCACAGTTTCAGGTAAAGAATCAACTGAATGTCAGAGACTTGCATTCAGGAAATTCTTACATACAGAAACATCTGAAAAAAGAACATGAATCGTGATTTATAAAGTGGATCATCATTGTTTATTTCTCTCATTTAAAACAGTAAATTCATTCATGTGCATCATTAAACAGAAGTGAGAAACTAACTGAAGTTAAAAGACTTTTTCTTAGAGTCATTTCAGGATTTCTTCTGAAAAGCTTACGTTTACAGGGAACTGTTACACTCTCACTAGAAGCTAGTTTTAGTTCCTCTCTGAAATCAATTTGTTGTTTCCTTTATCAGGGAGCCGGCTGTACTGTACGTGTTGTTACGGCTAAGACGTCTTCAGGGGCAGGAATAGACCCTGTTTTGTTTAGGCTTTGCATCTCCTCCTTCCCTCCCTCACTCTCTCCATATGTGTAACATGAACATAAATTGATGTTCTTATGTACTGACTGACTGACTGGTTGTAATCACACTTGTTCTGCCTGCGGCACAATGATATGCTGTAGCATGAGACACTGGCACTAATCCTGATGTACATAAGATATAAATGAGGGAATTTGTATCAAGGCCACGTCTAATTATTTTGACAAATGTAAACAAGCAACTCTAAGATGACTTGGTTCATCTTTATAGTGTAAATAACATTTTTTAAAACCCATTTTAACTGATACGATTAACACTTGGTATGAAAAGGAAACATTTATTGATGAAGACGAGCAAAACTCTTTTTTTTGCTTTATGTAGTCTGGCTTTAAATGAACTGCTCTCACTGATTTTATGTGTTTATATGTTGTTTTCAGATGTGTCAAAAACCTATTTTTAGTGGAAACTGACCTCCATACTACCTGCTACGTGTGTTAACCTCTAAATGTTCCTTTATGTTAACAAGCAAGTTACCCACTGTGATAGTGACAGACACAGTGGGTAACTTGCTTGTTAACATAGAGGAACATTTAGAGGTTAACACACGTATCTATGAAGATTCAGTGCTGAAAGAGAGTGAATATTAGACTGTCTGATCGTTTTTAATTAGCTAAAAACTGTCTCCAAATGAATAATGATTTTGCTCTTTAAATGCTGGATGTGTAATTAGGTAACTGAAGCTAATTAGCCAGCCGTATTAACCTGAAACGTGATGATATTAAAAATCATTATTGTGCTGACAGCTTAGACAAGTAGATTATTACAGATTGAACACTTGATTGACATCAATGGGTGTCGGCAAACTGTTTGTCAGAGAATAAGGGAAATACAGAAACACCAGAGATACAGAAAGTTTGAGGCCAATGAGTAAATCTGACTGAATATTCAATTCAAAGCTCTCATTCAGTACAAGATTTAGTCGTGTTCTTTTATGAGAAAACTTTAGAGTTCTTTATCAAACATGTCTGTGTCTTGTGTTCATCTTCACTCTTAGGCCATCGGTGTATTTTTTTGTTGTCAAGTATTGTTATAGAAGATCTTGTTTTGTTGCAGCCTTGAGTGAAACTCGTTCTCAGTTTAGTTTGAGTCACACAGCTGGCTGATAAATGATGCCCTCCAATGTGATGTTAGTGTGTGACTTTTGAATTCTGCCCCCTCTTCCAGGCCGCAAAATATCGAGCTCGGTGCCACGGGGGGAGCCTCCAAAAAGGACATGAGCAACATGGACGACATGACTGTGGAGCAGATCACCATGAGGGCCAACCAAGTGACTGACGAGGTAATGAGTCACACGCATAGACAAAAACACTCTTTTCCTCCGTTCTCTTGTTTTCTATTTCTGAGTTTCAGACTTGCCTTAAAGGGATTTTCTAACCTAAATATTCTGTTATCAAATACCCAAACTACAAGCTGCAGACAGAAGCTGTGCTGAAACTGTGTGTGTTTGGAGCAAACTGAGCAAAAACATAGACAGTGAGGCGGATGATAAGCTGCTGGAGTGTTTTGAAAAGTTTCTGTGTATTTTTTTTGTCCTGTATTTTTCTGCATCACTTTAAAAAAACACTTTATTTTTATGGATTTGAGCCTAGTAATTACCTCTCCTAACAAACTGATGAGCCTCCAATCATTTAATACCATTAATTTCAATGCAGTAAAAAGGGTGGGGGGGGGCTACACTTGCAAAAATGTGCATTTTGTGTTCAGGCTGGCAAAAAGATAATCTGTATGTCGTGTAAAGTCTCCATTGTTAACAACAGGTGGATTATTTGAGTTTAATGGGAAACGTTTCTCTGAAGGAATCAACATTGCTCAAGACATATTGCATATTAAATGCCTTTATGGCAAATGTCCTTGTTTTATTTTGTTGAAAACACAAAAAAAAAAACTTCATCTTTTTAGCCGGGACGTGGAAACTTGTCACTGTTGTCACAGTTCTCTGTTGTTGATAAAACTTTTAACAAACTCCTCTCAAACCATCAGTTTATGAGTGCTTGATATATATATAAAAGGAGGGTAGATCATCAATTTTAATTTGAAGTACAAGACTTGAACACATACAATATATGATGAAGATCCACAACAAATAATCCAGAACATTTTCTTTCCTTACAAAACTGCAAATGTTCAAACGAATGCTGCAGCAGCTGACATTGCAAAATCCTGAGGTGTCGGTTTGACGCTTGTGTCATTTCCTTTCTCACAAAGTACAGGATGGGAGATTCAACACAATGTGTGTCTGTATGATATATGCTAGAACAGGGGTCCTCAACTGGTCCAGCCTCGACACCCACCACCAACTCCTTCATGAAAAACCACAACACCAATTTCTGATATTTTTCAACCAATCAGATTTGTTTAATGTGAAATTGTGGAGTTTGACGTTACAAAACCTATGACAGAACAAAGAAACAGAACAAAAACATGTTTAAAAAGCGCTTCATTGACTGTTTGACATTCTTTCTTCAAGCTCACATTCCCTGAAACCCAGTTCCTACCACTTGACACTGTGGTAGACAAAACGGGTAGTTAGCATAGCTTAGCATACAATCTGGAAACTGGAAATTGTTTTGTGAGGCTCTCTAAAGGTAAAAAAAATATATTTTGGCACCTTTAAAAGCTTAGGATTTTACCAAATTGCTTTTTAATGTTTTGTTTCATATGTAGAAAACCTGTAACTCTCTGCAAGGGAGAACATAATGAATTTCCTGTGAGTGCCAACAAACAAAATGTCACAGCTGCAGCAGTGACAAACTGCTCTGTTTCTTATGAAGCTTCTGTATTTCTATTATTGAATATTGTCTTTAATTACACACTCCAAAATGTAAAACAATCCTGTGATGAAATACGTATTTTAACCACAACCATGTTGAGGATAGCAGAATTTGGAAAAACATCAGTCGGTGGAAAACAAATAATGCATCCTGGGGATGCTTGAGCACAGCACTGAGAGAACAGGGGCTGTGGGTAATTATTTTCATTGCATGTACCCTCACACACACACACACTCACACTCAAACAGACAGACACACACACACACACACACACACAGACAGTCACACACAGTTGATTATTGAGCTAGGCATTAATAGGAAGCATGTGAGGCTTTACGCCTAATTTAGCCTGATAGCTCCCTTACCCCTCTGCAGTTCTGACGGTTTGAATGTTGTCAGCTATATCTAAGCGTTTTATTATCAAGGAGATAATTTTTTAATCAGCACTCGGGAGCATCAGATGATCAGCCATCTGATTCAAATGGAAGCAAATTAACTTACTCTAGCTGTGCATGTAGCTGTGCACTTCACCTTCCTGTAATTCTGACTGTACTAATTGTTTCTGTTTTTCACCTCGTTTTTTTCCATCTCAACTCTGCCTTTTCTCTCCTACATGTGTGCTTTCTGATTTAACCTGCAGATTTCTCTTTTTCTCTTTCTTTCTTTCTGCTGCCTGGTTGACTTAGCAGCTGTTAGAGGGAGGGCGTGGGAGGGTCCTTTGGGTAACCACTCAAACCTGAAACACTCAGAGCACGGCTGGTAATGTATCAGGGCAACATCCAATTCTTAATGATAAGAAAACATTGTTATTTGAGCTATCCTATAATTTCAAGGCTGTTCTCCGTGTCAACTAGTTCAACACTGTGTCAAAGTTTTGAGAGTTCATTGTTTGTGCGCTGCTATCGAATCCTGTTGGAATATTGCAGCCAATGGATTCCTGTGCTGTGCTTTCCTGCCTTTTTTGAATTAGAAAACATTTGAGTTTCCTGATTTTAAAAAAGCCTTGCATGTAGTTTGCTGGAACCTGCACGTGCCTCGCCTTTCTGTACTACCATTAAAGCCGTCCCACACAAACGATAAAAATACCACGCCATTGTCTCCATCTCAAAGATTTTTTCACAGCATCCCAATCTGGAAATTTTGGCTTCGGCAGCGATTTCAGGCTTAATTAGCCAAGTTCAAGGATTTTAGGAGACATAATGTAATGTTTATCCACCCAAGTGATGTTCTGGCTAAGCCAACAGAAACCTGGCCGAGCCCGACTCTTCCCTCTCGCCAATTCTCTGTTTGTCTTTTTCTCAACTCGCTGATTAATGTATTCAGAGCAAACCTACCACTGAGAGAATGAGGAATCCGGTCCCCACTCTCTCTTGTTAACAGTTCATTAGTGGTGGTAACAATGGAGTCATGCCCCGAGTCACTTCCGCGCTTCGCTCCTTTGGATGCTCTGCTTTCTGTACAGCACTTTCTATTAATAGAGACACAGAAGGCGTTTCTCACCTGAACTGACTGCATTCCTGCTCGCCTGCAACACTTGTGTGTCTGAGCGTACTTGTGTGTTCTGTGCTTTGTCACAGATTGTCATCATGTGTGTCAGTCATACGTACGTCCCATTGTTGGACAAAGCTAGAATGAAAGAGTTTGGACACATGAACAGGAGCTCCAACCACATCATTAACATGCTTCACATTGGGTTTTTTTTGATTGTGCAGTCGAGGGCTGAAGTAAAAGATTAACAAAAGAGAAAAAAAAATTTTCTTTATTATCACATAAGACAATAGAAAAGAATCAATCCTAGCAATTAAAAAAGGCTGTGAAAATGAAAGATGTTGCCTTTTCTCATGGGGAAAAAAACGTAGTTTGTTAAAAAATGTGACATTTAATTGACTTTGGTAAATTATATTTCATGAAATAGTGACACATATTGTACATCATTCCCTAAAGAATTGCAGAAAATATTCACATTCAAGAGACGGCAATAATAAACCCTGTCACTGAAGGCCTAGTGAAAAAAAAACAAAGGAATCAATTACAAGTTTTCTGTTGGCAAATTATCAATTTGTAGACAGTTTGTTCAAGTGTCAAATCATTTCAGCACTTCAGTGCTGTGAAAGTGTTAAACTGGTAGAGGAAGTTTTGATCAAATATTTCAGCTGAGGGGTTCAAACATGCTTTAATAACACTTATGGATAACTGACTGATAGGTTTCCAAACATTAATAAAAGATTTAAAACCATCATAAGTTTAACCCCATCAAAGAATCACATAAGCTCTAGATGTGAAACAACAAGGAAACAGTCTGAAATGTGCTGAGCTGTTCACATCATCAGGTCATCCAGTCAATCATTTTAAAGTAAAAAACAAAAACAAATTGTATTTTCTCAGTTCTGAACATTTCCTGATTTTTTTTTAATCTCGTATGTGATCAGAAACTGAGCTCTTTCTGGCACAAAACAAGCATTTCGAAGACATCAATACTTCTTACTTTCACCTGTTTTTCACCACTTCCTTGATTTGAAGACTTTTATTACAATAAAATCAGTGATTAGAATCCAAATATGTAGTTACACCAACAAGCTCAAAAATGTTAACTCTTAATTAAAGATGATATACTTTATATATACTTTATACTATGATCCTAAATGCTACAGTTTAAATATGTATTTTCCACCTTCTGTATCCAGCATTGACAGAGGCTGCAAGGAAAGAGTTAATAAGACAAGTATGTAAATGACTTGAGCCAGAGGAGACGCTGAATGTAACAGCGATGTTAGAGCCAAGTGTGAACATATACAGGAAGTAACTTGTGCTTTAAACTCACAGGGCAGTTTTTTTTTTTCCATCTTATTTTTTTGCGCCTTTATGAATATTAATGGTGTAGCTTTGTCCATGTTTTTCTTATCAAGAGCATCTTTCCATTTACCTTATCTCTCTTATCTGGCTCTCCTTCACATTGTCTCCATGTTAATTACCTTCTGTGGTTTGTTATCTTCCGCTCTGTCTTTCTCACTGTGACCAAATTCCTACAAATGACTTTTTGTTGGTTGATTTTCAAATGAACCAGCAGAAAAACACAAATATAGACCTGTATCTTTTTGACGGTCTTTAATCTCTTGGCAGTGTATGACAAACAAAAAATCTGTTTAAAATTAAAACAAAATACTTCAGTCCAGAAATGTATCTTCATGTTTTCTTGCTCCTCTTCTTTTAATATTCATTAACTCCTCGTCTTTTCCTTCCACAGTCACTGGAAAGCACACGGAGGATGCTGCAGTTGGCAGAGGAGGTGAGACTTGGAAATGATGCTGCTGCTTCTGCTGACACACAAACACAATGACATGTTTCATGCAGCTGTTTGGACAGAAGAAGAGAGGATAGAGAGGCTAAATCGAAACCTGGATGAGGATCAGGAACATGTTATTAAGATTTGACATTTTTGATTTTGAGTTATACTATATATATTTCTGTATAAAAGTATAAAAGTCATGGTAACATGGGAACAAAAAGATCATTTCTGTTGTTAATAATTAAACCTCTTTGTCTGAAATTTTGAACAAAACCAAAAATGAAAAGGGCTAAAAACGTACAGAAGTAGAATAAAAATAACTAGACTATTTGTGTTTCCCTCGGAAAATGCGTGGGAATGCAGAAGTAGAAGAAGTAAAAGCAATAGAAGTATTTGTAGAAGAAGAGAAACAAGAAGTAGAAGAGTGAAACACTGGATGAGAAAAGTTTGTTGTTAAGAGCCTAAAACTGATCAGAGTAAAAACAGTAGCACAGCATTCATGTTGTCAAAAGAGCTCAATTACAGTATGAAGAAATAATACAGCATAATGAGTAAGTGTGTGTGTGTGTGACTGCATTAAAAGTGTTTAACTGCAGTAAAGGTAACAGCTTAGACGGGGAGAAAAGGGGGGAAGGCTCTCCCTAAAACATGCTCATTTTAATTAACAGTAAGTCACTAACTGATGATTTTTGTGAACAAGAGGACAAACGGCTGAATCCGTTGATGTGATTTTTATGTCTGGGATGCAGTTTTCCATGTACATAAATCTGTGTGTTATCTTTTCATTTGTTCTGAAATGTTGTGGCTGATTTCTCCTCTTCTGTTTCCAGAGCAAACAGACTGGTGTCAACACCATGGTGATGTTGGACGAGCAAGGAGGTAGCTCCACGGTTTTATCACTGCTGCTTTTCATGCAGCTGTTTCCTTTTTTTCTTTTTTATGTTACTGACACATAATATATATATGGCTAATTATATAACAACCTAGCAATGCAGTTTAACTCACCAGACGTCATTGGTCCATTGTACAAGTGTCAAGGAAATGTCATTATTTAAATAACCTTTACATTTGAAGGGGGTGTGAGATGATTTAAAGGAACACATTTCCTGCTCTGACATTTTCAGAAAAAACATTTTTTTCACTGGAGGCAGCCAGGATTGTATAAGGAGGCTCTGAGGGAAGTGTGGGCTGAAGAAAAATAACAAGGACGAAGATGTTAGACAATCGTATGCCTGAAGAAACATTAACATACTCTTTAAATAAGAGTTTAAGTCAGTTACACTAACCTTCTTCTGTGGCTGCAAGCATTTAGAGATTTTGCAGTGTTAAGTAATAACATGCGCTGTCTTTAAGCATTTTAGTAAACGTATAGCAGAAACACTTCCATATAACATCCTGAAAATGACTTGTAACTTTATGTGTAGCTGCTGTCTTTAATATGTTCGGAGTTTAAAAATGTGCATTTATAATGATTTGCTGTACTACCCGCAGTGTTCTTTTTTTTTTTTAAGATATTTTTTCCCATTTTTGTGTAGCTGCAATGACCCAGTTATTGACCCATTTTCAGAATCCTCGCAGGGATAATTAAAGTTTAATTAGATCTATCCTAAAAATTGATTAATAAAGGTGATAAACAAAACAAAATTAACACCCAGACGAATTCCTGGTGTAGAAAATGTACCGAGGTTTAGAAAAAAAGGGAGTGTGTGTGTGACGTGGTGTGTTGTTGGCCGCGTGTGTTTCAGAGCAGCTGAAGCGTGTGGACGAGGGCATGGACCAGATCAACCAGGACATGAGACAGGCTGAGAAAAACCTGACTGACCTCTCCAAGTGCTGCGGCCTCTGTGTCTGCCCCTGTGACAGGTACACTGTACACTCAGAGCTGATCCACGCTCCAGATCCCTCATGTGTCTGAGCACACTTTGCTCTCCTCTTTTCTGTGTGTGTTTCTGTGTGCGCTGTGCTTTGTATCCTAAGAATTCATTATACTAATGATAGTATTCAGACGTATTTTGGTTCAGGAGCCGTAGCTAAAAGTGCTCTACAATAAAGTGAAGAGAACGAAGAAGAAATCTAAAACATGCAAATTAAAACAAGTGCAAATACGGCGTGTTTAAAACCAGCATCAAAAGAAGAACAAACAAAACAGGCTCGCAATTGTAAGACCAGAAATAAGCTGAGAACAATAGAATGTATGAAATATGATAAACAAAGACTACAAAGTATCAACAATACATAAAAATAAAGGGATTAAAACAACACAAGAGGGACAGCCAGGAAGAGATAATGTAGAATCCAAAAGTTTGTATTCCTACCTCTCCTCTGCTCGCTCTGCCTAGCAACAGCAGACCACGCTCGGGGTTTGTGGTATTTTGAGAAGTCTGTCATGCCAACCTCTCAAACCAAGCATCATTTCTAGCAACAGAAACTATTAAGAGCTTTGGCCATTCCATAAACCTAAAGGATCATTTCTTCTTCCAGGAGGTTTTTGTGCGTGTGTTTGAGTTTCACTGAGGAGGATTTCCATGTGATTGAGCACTTTGATGTTATTGTTCTGTCTGCGAGGTTGATTTCACTTGAGCACAGAATGAACTGCAGCCACATCCACAAACAAGAGAGTTAATAGAGTGTTACAAAGAGAAAAGAAATTTTGCAAATTTGCATTTCAAACGTGCTGTTTTATGGTCGATAGGTTTGTGAGTGTCCTCAGTGGTCTCTGAATGTGACGGTGTTGCTACCTGGTTCCTTAAAATCCCAGGTGCACTGCTCTGTGCTGAGCATACTAAAAACTCTTCAGCACATCATTTGGTGTAGTGTTAGTGTGTGTGCACAGTGAGTTCATGACTGTTTTTAAACATGAAACAAAATCTCCCCAAAATGCTTTCACATTGGAGCAGAGGAGGATTCTTTGATGATTACCTTAAGATCAGGTAGGGAATCTTTTTCACTTTCTTCTGATCAATGTAAACCTCACTTGGATACCTTTAGTGAAAGGTGGTTTTTTAACAATCTTCTTGTCACAGGATTTCTTGGTATGCAATGACTTGTCGTTGTCTCTTGCAGGGTCTCATCAATCGAGCACGACTCTCGATACAAGCGTACCTGGGGAGTTAGAGGCGCCGATGGTGAAGTCGACGCAAATGGCGCCAAAGTCGTCTCGAGGCAGCCGTCAGCTGTTCGTAACGGGCAGCCTGCTCAGGCCAACGCCTCGACACCATCCGGCCCGTACATCAAGAGGTGGGGTCCAAAAGCATTGAGCCATAATGATGTCAGAATCGTGTTGTTAATAATGTAGACCTCACCTATAATCTCCTGCTAGTTTCACATCATGAACGTTTCTGAACATGTATTTATCACACTCCCTTTGAACGTGTGCTGCAGGATAACCAACGATGCACGTGAGGATGAGATGGAAGAGAACCTGGATGCAGTTGGCAGCATTATTGGCAACCTTAAAAGTATGGCTGTGGACATGGGCAGCGAGATAGACAAGCAGAACAAACAGATTGACAACATCACTTCCAAGGTAGGACACTGAGATGAATGCTACTTTCACTACTTTGTTTGTTTTCCCTCTAAATGTGCTTTTTTTTAGCTGTTTGATCGCACTTCTTAAGCAGGTCTGCTGCTTACTGAGTCCCTCCAAAAATGATACGTCCTAAAAACATCAAACACTAACAAAACTATTGGAGGGAAAACCTGAAAGGTTTTTCTCTTAGATATGGATTTTTATTTTTAAATCGCTTACATTCATTATGTTAAGCTGTAGAGCCAAATGAAAGGCACCATGTGGAGTGTTTAAACGCCTGTCGCTTTATGGAGGAATGTTTTTAAAAGGGCAGCTTTTTTTTTTGTATCCACACAAACAACTCAAAAACAAACCTACAAATGTTTTAATATAGTTTAACTGATTACTGTAACTTGAACAAACTGGGGGTCAGGGCGCAAAACATTTATGCAACTTCCTTTTAAATGAGTTACTGCAACTAAATGTGTTCAAGCGAGCAGACTGTGGAGTTCTCTTGAAGCTAATAAGAGTTGTATCATTTACCGTTTATCAGCAAGAATACTGCAGGTGTTACATCCAATTCCTTCCTCAAAAAGAATTGCATGACTTTTTTTTCCTTTCATTTGAGTGTGAATATTTAGGTTGAAAAGAAGGTACTTTATTGATTCAGGATTCCAGAACAACCCCCATATATGTTAACATTAAAATTAAAATATTCAAATAAGACCTTTGCTAAATTTTGATTGAAGTAAGCCTCTATACTGATTACATTTAGAATTGTAAAACTTGTTAAATCTGTCACAGTCTATTTTTTTTTATAATTCTGTGACTGTGTTTTGCAAAAGCAAAATTATTATTAACAGTTTACAGGAAACCTTGAATGTTTTTTTTTTTTGTTAAACAACTCCATTTCATCTTTTTTCATTCTTTCTTTCAGGCGGATATGAACAAATTCCGTATTGATGAAGCGAACCAGAGAGCCAACAAGCTCCTCAAGTAGACAAGGAACCTGCTTCTGCCACTTTTAACCATCAACCTTGAGCCTCTGTTGCCACACCGAAAACACACACACACACACACACACTGCATACATGTACACAAACACACACTCTTTAACAACAAAAAATACAATCCAACTGGAGAGAAATATTTTTATTTCGGCAGTTTGGTAGCTTTGACTGCACTAAGAAATAAGTAAATATAAATACCCTTTCACACATGTAATCATGATCATGCTGGACCTTTTAAAGACGCTCTGGCATTTCAAACGTTTTCTAAGAGGAAGTGTCTGACTGCCTTACTTACTGCTGTCTGATACCAAATATGCACCCGGCCTGTTGTATCATATCAACATTCACAGGAAGGGAAGTAGCAAAGGTCTGCCACTTCTCTGTCTGGGTGATTCTCTTCTTTGACTTTCTCTCAAAGTCAAAGCAACTATGAATTGTCTCTTCATGTTTGAGTGTCTGGTTTGTAATTATGGTGTCACAGATCTGAAACTCATTAGCCGCCTTTTAGGGTTAAATTCTGTATCGCCCCCTGGTGTCTAATTCTAACTTCCTCTAGTTAATTCACAACTCATGTAAACAAAATTCTTCAGAGTTAAACATGTAATTAAGCTAATTGTTCCATGTGTGTAATTTTGAGATGACGTGCCTATTTAATTATTTCTTATTAAAAGCAGAAATGACTTGTGAATCAAGTTGTTTTGAACACCTTTTTCTCATGTCATTTATGCAGCTTCAGGTGGAAAAAGCTATTTCAAACATTTTTAAATGTTCTTTGAAATGAGTCAGGGTAAATTCTTTCATGCTGGAATTAAAAGCAGCTACCCCTGAATAAATGAAGCGATCTGATGTTGTTTTTATAATTCTCTGACTGCTGAGAAGTCAAGGTTGGTGATAGTAAAGAAGCTGACCTTGTGGTTAGAAAAGTAATATATAGCAATGTTTTGGGAAGCTCGTTAGGCAATCGTTAAAAACGCTCTGAAAGCTTCTAGTTGAATTCAGAACAGACCTACAGAAAACTTTGTTCAGCTGATCATATTTACTGTCTCGAGGTTTTTCAGTCCAACCGCAGTGTTTCTGTAAATACTGAAATATACTGTGGCTGTTTACTAATTGCCCAAAGTCTCTCTGTTAATCTAATTCCATTCTTCTTTCTCCATTACCTCTTGGTTAATAGAGATTTATGACACCCAAGAGGAGATTTAACGGCCTATGCAGGGTTCCTACACAAGTCTGGGAATGTGCGGAAAATTAATTTCCTCCAGTTAAATATTTGCAGAGTCTGTGAAAGTGTAAAAACAAATCTTCAGGTCTAAACACAGGGTCGCACATTGTTTATTTCAGCAGTTTGTCTCATATTCACTCACTAGGTCATTGTTATTAGGGCATTTGATGCAGCGTTGTCATCACAAATTCAACCTGGATTCTGATAGATTGGGAAAAGTAGTCTGAAAAGTTTAGTAATTTAGCGATGGGAGAACATCCTGTCACTGCCTTATCGATGATCCACGGTTGTGTTGTAACAGCCGGTGTATCCCAAACAACTGTTTTTTGCATCTGTTTTGTAAATAGCCAGCTTTCACGGCAGAGATACGTAAAAATGATCAAATCTGATGATGGAGAGCATAATTTGTTTTTGTCGAAGCCGTAGCCAGGCTGAGAAATTACTGCTGGCAGCAAGATGCAAAGTGTACATGTAAATGAATGATGTTTTAGGGGCTAAACGCAGACGCAGAGTAAGTCCTGGCGGGCTGTTAAGGCGTCGCTGTGGAAAATTGCTAATGATAAAGTAATACAGCCTGCTGAAAGTATCTCTTACATGAATCTTCTATCTTATTTGTTTTGAGGAAAAATAATGATTTGTATTCTCTGCTTCAGGCGTACACCTATTCAGTTAGTAAAGATTGAAATGGACTGTTATCCAGGGCTTTGTATTGCTATAAGTGATCATCCTGGGTCCGCTGCTTGTCAGCTGGGATCTAATTAGTCCAGCCTGAGGCGGCCTCGCTGTCTTAAGGCTGTTTATTCATTGTTGTACCAACAGCCACTGGAATGTAAATGCATCAGTTTGTGTCTAATTTAATATGTTCATATGCAGCTTCACCTTCACTGAAATGAGCTCTGTTAGTGGACAACTGTTCAACCACGTGAAAATGCCTTTTGTTTCACGCCTTTCTTTGTATAAATGTTTGTAATCAATAAATCTATTAAAACATGCCTTTTATTTAAACTTCTTTTTAATGTATTAATCAAAATTAACTCCACTCTATTCCAAATGTATTGCATTTGCTTTTTCTATTTCATTTAGTTTAGTTTCTTCTCTGTATAGTTTGGATCTTTTGTGCTGGATATTTGCTCTGTTTGTGCCTTCCCTGGGCTCGAGGTCATTTAACATGGACTGTGGCGAAGAGGAGAACTCTGCGGTGGTGTAATGGGTCAAAATTTGAAATTCTGTTTGGAAATCATGGACGCCGCGTCCTCTGAACTACAGAGGAGAGGGACAATCTATCTTGTTCTTGGAGCACAGTTTAAAAGCCTGTGGCTGTGATGGTGTTTGGGGTGCATTAGTGCACATGGCAGGGGTTACTCACATTTGCTTACACATTTGTTAAAGCTCCAATAATGCTGAATGAAATGAACACGTTTGTGCTCACATGCTGCCTTGCTTATTTCAGCAAGACAATGCCAAACCATATTCTGCATGTAATACAGCAGCATGTCTCCATAGTAAAAGAGTGAGTCCCTGTATGTCATCAACTGAAAGCATTTGGCTTAATATAAGTCATAAATAAAAAAATAAAGACCCTGGACTGTAGAGCAGCTTAAACCCTACAATATGAAAAAAATGGAACATTACAATTTAATATTGCAATGACCCTGTAACTGGTTGAAGATCTTAAAAATGTTTCATCTCTCCTCCGAAAGGCTTCTTCAGTTCTAAACTAACTGGTAGACAGAGCTTGAAATTTAAAGGTCACATATTACCTTCCTTTTCAACAATTCAAAACAAGTCTCAGAGCTCCCATAAACATATCTGTGAAGTTTCTTGTTATAAAACCCACTCTGGTCCAGTATTTGATCATGACTATAAATCCCTCTATTTCAGCCCTGCTCAGAACAGGCTGTTTCTGTGTCTGTAGCTTTAAATGTAAATGAGCTTTGTTTGACCACGCCCTTCTAGAATGGATTGGGTCGCTCAGGCTTTATCAGTCCATGTCCTATTGCTAACAGTGAGAAAGCAGACTCAGAGGGCAGAACAAACATGTAGCTGTGTGAGTGTCACCCGCCTGGGGGAGGGGCTACAGCCCTTTGTGATGTCATGAAGGGAAAATCTACAAACAGCCCGATTTAGTAAATATTTTCTAAAAAAAGGAGCAGGCAAAAGACTGCGAGGATTGACTTCTCTCATAATTAGGGGTTTGTAGACAGACTAGGGACACACATAAATGAAAAACATGGTAAAGTGTATTTTGCTTAATATGTGACCTTTAAGCTTCTGTTGATCATTAGCATGCTGATGATCATGAATGGCGCTTAAAAAGTCGTTAGCTGAGTTGTGACCTATTTTTTCCTACAATCGTTAACCTTCCTGGTCGTTGGGGTCACATGTTCCAAGGTTGAACTTCAGTTGTTTTGAGAGAGAATTCAAAACAGCATTGTAGGTTTTGTAAAGATGGTGTCTTAAACCACCACCTGGGAGAAGGGATGGTTTTTCCACCTCAACGTGGATGGCTTCTTTAACGTCCCTTTCAAACCATCGGTCTTGAAGAAGCCTTTCAGAGGAGAGGTGAAACATCTTCAAGACCTTCAACCAAGTCCAGTTGACTTTGGATTATGCTTCAAATTTACCATGACCAGGATGACTGAGAAATCTAAACACACATGAGGTTCTAATGTTTTGATAAAAATCACATTCTCTTTTTATTTACATTTTACTCAGGGTCCCAACTCCTCTGGGAAAGGGGTTGTAAAAGATCAATTCTCCCAATATCAAAGAAGAGTTAACCGCCAATAAATCAACACAATCTGTTTAGATTAAGGAGTTTATTTTTAAAGTTTATTCTCTCAAAATGTATTTGATAATTCTTGTCAACATTTCTGGATATTTTACATAGCTAGAGAGTACAAAACGCAGATTAAAAACCAGTGAACAGAAACAGCAGGTGGGAAGGTGGAGGAATTGACAAAGTGGATGGAGGTGACGGGAGTAGGAAGTGTCTGAGTTATACTGTCGATAGAGTGACCAATAAAAACAAGACTGAATACATGTGATGCAAGTTTTTCCCAAAACATTTTGAGGTGCGTTTGGAACAGAAAACATTGGAAAAGTGGAAATAGCACAGACGTGATATTCTTCTCGAAAATGAAAATCTGTATTTCTTGATCAGAGATTCAACAACTTGTAGATTGAGACAAGCTAAACAGAGATCATGGCCATGCTTCCACGTTTCCTTTTGAGCTGAACAGTCTCGTTTATCTTCTGCACCCGACTTCTGTCTTTTCATTGAGGTCACTTTAGTTGGACAGTACAAGGCAAGATGGCAGTGAGTGTGTGTGTGTGTGTGTGTGTGTGAGCCACTTTCCTGCTGACAAGTTAACATGTATAAATGCGGTTCCATATGCTGTACACTCTTCATTCCCTGTCTTTATCGGTAAAGTGTTTCATTCTATTATGGCTTTTGTCGTTGAAACTCCTATGTGTACCCAAATTCTCGCTCTCCATTTACATTCATATTAAAGACACACTCCCTCAGCTCCAAACTGCTACTGTATGATCCTGGTCTTCCACAAACAGCATGCCTGGTCCTGTTGTGTGGTTTGGAAAAACGAGTCAAGATCCCTACGACCCACAACGTCTCGAACTTTGGCTTTGAGGTGAATCATCCGAGGTCTTTCTCCGCTTTGATATGACACTCGATTTCTGAAATCTAGTTTGAGATCAGAGGAGTGTTTCATAAGATCAGAACCAGTTCAATCAGGTTTACTTCTGCAAGTCAAACATTTTTTTCAGAATTAGTAAAAAAAAAAAGAAGTCAGAATTAAGTTACCAAGATAACCACCTGGCCAGGTTAGATTTCAGGCTTAGCTTTTAGCTAGTCTAGTCAATTAGCATTTCAAGCTAAATTTAACACATTTAAATTAGACTGCACTTTTTTTTTGGCCTAAATAGAGTTTATCATAACTTGTAAATTCACAATTACAAATAGTCATCTCAATTTTTGATCAATAGTGAAGGCTTCATAGTGGGCAGCATTTTCTAAAAAGAATTTCATGTTAGTCAACATGAACTTAAAGAAACAGACATTCTCAAATCTGTTGATTATACATCTTTTGATTGGCCGCCCGGTTAATGATATTTCATTTGTCCAAGTACCAAACTGAAGTAGGAAGATCATACCCATGAAGTAATAACCTTCTGCTGTTACAGAGGAGGTTCAACAGTATCTTGAGTATCTTCATCCATTTTTTAAACACTTATTATTACACGAAATAGAAAATCACGACTCCCACGTAACCCTGTTGTCTCCATGATGCACTGAGATAAACTGACTGGGGTCAATGTTGCTAAAAGGAAGAATCCTGGTTTAGTTTAATGGGTTCATTTCAGGTCCTGCTTTTTTAAATAAACCTGCTTACTAAGCAAACTTGTGAAACACCCTTCAGGAGTAAACAACACAAGCATTCACGTGTGAAGCCAGAGTTGAAGAGGAGTTGGTCTTGATGGAAGGTTTGAGAATATCACAATAGCACCATATCAAACAAATGTAAAACATACCTCATGCATCTGTAGATATATAAACTGTATATGTATATATGTCAATGGATAGATATGAAATGTAGGGTTCCATACACGAGTGTTGAATATATTTCAAGTTCACAGAAGTACTGTCACAGTTCAGTTGGGAATAAAGTCGGAGAAGAAGTTTATTCAAAACTGACTGATCGTGGTGTCTCATGACGGCTCGTTTTTCATGAGCCAATTTAAAAATCTCAACAGTCAGACCCTTCACAGTGCATAGAGCATTTAGTTTGCATGCCTGCAATTACACTTGTGTGTGTGTGTGTTGTGTGTGTTGTGTGTTGTGTGTGTGCACTGTACTTCAGTTTTTACACCGCATTTACAAAGCTTTTTAAAGCCTGTTAAACTCACTCTGGCTCTAGAAGTAGCGTTTAGTGCTCCAAATTCAAACAGCACAGTATTACAGTTCACAACCATTGTATAAGGCAGATTAATAAAAGTACTCGGTACTCTTGAGTCACCCTATGTTCATTACAGGCCTTCATATCATACATAGCTATATCAAAGCATGCCATACTAAAGAAGGGAGAGAAAAAAAACTGCAGGAAAAGTAGCAAAGGAAAAGTTGAACAAACATTCTTTGGTTGAGTGTGAAATCAGCATTCCTGTGCTTTAATTCAATACTTTCAATTTGGCTTTAGATCCAAAGAACACAAAGAAAAAAGTGGACCTTTGCGATGAAACACAGGCTTAAATACAGGCAAAAAGTGACAGCTTGAACCTAGACTACCATATTTATGTCAATTCTCACAAAATAATATAAAAAGATTTAGTGATAAAAGCTCGCTCTGACTGATTGTACACAAATACTACTTTCGCTCTCCTCGTTGCCTAGGCAACCCCCCCTCCTGATGGCCTTCCCATCTCCTTTCACTTCTTCTTGGCAAAGGGACTGAACTTCTTCTCCTTGTCTTTCTTGGCAGAGCTTGGCTCAGGGAGGGCAGCTGAGGTGGAGGAGGAGGAAGCGGGCAGGCTGTGGGCTTTGGCCCCCGAGGGCCCCGACGCCTCCTCCTCTGCCAGGGGCTGAACGGCCCTCTCCATGGCCTGGCTCCAACGCTGGAGCTCCTCCTATAATTAAACACACAACACAGCGGCTTTACAATGGAGGGGGGGGGAGCAGTGTGGATTTTTAACTAAAGAGGTGACAAGGAAGCTTAAAATAGATGGAAAAAAACAAACCACTCATTATTAACCAAAAAACAGAATAACCTCGTTAGTGTGAGCCACATTCTTAGACGTCAGCTTAAAAGTAAAATATGTATGTATGTTCTGTATGTATTGTTACAAAGGGTCAAAGGTTATATAAACACATGCCAAATTCAGAACAATGAGTCTCATGAGATTCATAGAAAGCTGGAAAAAAGTTCATTAGCTCCAAAACTCACCTTGTCTTTACACTGGAACAAATATTCACTGCCGTCTCTGAGACTGTACGAGGAAGGCAAAGGAAAGAGAAAGATGTAACAAGGTGTCGTGTGGAGAAACCAAAACAAAAACAAGTCGTTTTGGCACATTTCACATTCTGACCATTAAAAACCAGCTTCCAAAAACAGATGTTGTAGTCATCTAAGCAACTGAGCTCTAGCTTCTTTTTTTTTTACATCCAATCTGAATAAATGTGTGTTTTAAACTAGCAGCATTTTTTAGCATCTATTAGCAAAGTGAGTGCTTAAAAAAGAGTGCTGCAGGTCTAGACAGCAGCTGGTTAAGTAAGGGAGGAGAAAAAGCTGGCTTGGTTCCATCCAAAGTAAAAAAAAAAACAGAAACAACATTAACCAACTAAACAGGTTCCATCCCCGGTGTTAAAGAGAACAGGCAATGGTTTGAAAGGGTTTTGTACTTCCTGTTTCGTCGGTTTGTTTAAAAAGCTCACAGTGATCATTAATATAAAAAAATAAAAAATAAAAATAAAATAAAACATTTGTACAGAAAACATCCTTCCAAAAAAAAAAGTTCTCACTGTAGTTTGGCGACGTGCTTCTTCCTCTTGTAGTTGTTTAGGATCTCCCAGCTTGCGTTGCTAAGCGACAGGGGGTCCTCGCCGTGATACGTCACCCCGTGGCCGAAGCTTTTGGCGTCCTTATAGGCCGAGAGCTGACCGGGCTTCAGCACACAGAACAAGTTGTTCCAAGACCTGAGAGGGACAGGATCAATGGTTTCAGGTAGCTCATTTCTCTCAGTGATACAAAATCTATTTCATTAAGTCTCAATTACAAGAGCCACAACAACATCAACACCTCATTAGACTTAATTCACTTCATTAGAAAGAAGGAGTGGTGTTAGTGCAGCTCACTGCTCTGAAACAACTGTAAATAGTTTTCAGGTTTTTCTTTAGGAACGTCATGATGTTGAAAAATACTTTTAAGTGTTGCTTCTGTACGAACATAATGATGAATAGCCGCTACTTATTCATCTTTAAAATACAAAAGGTGGCTAAAATAATCATTTAAATTATGACTTAGGATGTAAATGTTATCTGATGATCTCCTGTCTCCTGTACTGATGCCAGTGTTCTTTTTTTCAGTTGTTATTTGTTGGCCGTGAATGTGTTAAATCCTTGAATTAATCTAAACTAAGTTAAAGAGGCTTTTTAGTTCCTAGCTCAATGATGCATGCAACTTATAGTTTCAATTCGGCCCATTTTTTTATGAGATTTTTCAGAATTAGGGATTTTTTTATTTTTTATTGGTATGGCTTTAAAGAGACAGGAAAGTTGATGGAGGTTGAAATTGGGGAGAGACAGAGTTGGGAAAGACACGCTGGTTAGGAGCCACAGGTCGGAGTTGAACCTGGAACACCCGCTTCCAGGACAACAGTCTCATGGGTCTGTACATGAGGCATGCAAGCTAACCACTTCGAGTGGATAATATCTATGGTTGATCAAGTTAATAGTTATTACTCTTTAGAGTGCGTTTCTATATCTGGGCTTGTTTACACTCTCTTTTTGTTAAATGCTAGACAGCATTTCATTATCGCACTTTTTTAACCTTTTATTCCCTAAACATCATCTGGAAGAAGGGACTCACCATGGTATGCAAGCTCTGGCACCTTAAATACAAATACTATACACATATACATTTTTTTGTTCCCAATATTCTGACTTACTTTTATTTCATTTCAATATAAAAATAATAATAATACAGTCAGTTGAGTTAAAAAAAAATCAATGGCGACCTGAGCGCCACTGTGACGGATGAAAGGAGGTAAATGGGTTTTCTAGTGTGCTAATAGATTTTCCTAATTTCCAGAAGTAAATAAGCTGTCTGGAATGTGTAGTGGAGTCATGCAGAAACTACACTTCATGTCGTAAACCGGCTGAAATATGCAAAAAAGAATCTCTACCTATTTGACACCTTCTTCCCTGAGCCCTCCACATCGTGTTTGCGTCCCAGCACGCCCTCCTGCAGCACAGCCTGGGTTCTGACGGGCTCCATGGGCATGGTGGCCGCCCTCTCTTGTTCTATGGATGTCCCTACAGAGACAGAGGGGTCGAGCTCCAGAGAACCACTCTCTCTCATTTCTGAAACAACGGGCACTGTGGGGTCACCGGCCGTCCCCTCCGGCAGACCTGAAGTGGGCTCAACTGCACCAGAGCCAGACTGGTGCAGAAGGAGAGGAGTCTTTTTTTATAAATTCATCTTTCACATACAGAATAGAAAAAAGAGAGGAGTACGCCCCAGATTTATGCATCTGCAAGTGCTCTAACAGGGGTCTCAGCACAGTCAAATGCAGTTTGATTTCAATGGCTAAGAAAAGTCAAGGAGCTTATTTAAATGCAAAAGTTAGTAAGAACATAGAAAAGAGAAGAGGCTGGTTTTCAGTCTGCTTTAAAGGAAGTCACCACATGAAAAAGTTCAGAGGACAGGAGTTAAGAGAGCGTAGGTACTTACCAGAGTCTGTTCCTCAATGGTGCAAAGTAGTGAAGATTCTTCTACAAAGCCGGTGTCTTCTCTCCTGCAGGAAAGAGGGCAGCATGGGGTCTGCATGAGACACTTTAAAGAGCAGCAGGTGAAGAATATAGTGTGTGAGTGTGTGTGTGAGTGTGTGTAGAAAAATAGGGAGACTGTGTTCCTGCATAAAAGTCTAAAAGATAACACTACAGAATTCTGTATGTTTGTTGTTCTAAACAAGAGAAAACTTTGCTTGTTATCTATTTCTTACTTTTTTAAGTTCTTCTGTCTGCCCGTGGCTCTTAGCCCAAACACATTTGTTTATACTGTATTATTAAAATCATCTTCAATATGTTTGTTTTGAAAAAAAAAAAAAAGAGGCTCAAAAACTTCCCATAGCAGCTGGGCTTTTTATTATCTGGCAAATATTGTGCATAATAAAAGTCTTTTAGGGGGATACTCTTCAGAGGCTGTTTTATGGCGCTGGTTGTTATTTTGTCAGCAAACACTTTGTTTGGGATTGACTCAAAGTAAACTACTGTACAGCCATCATTTTAAATAAAGGAGGGACGTGTCACCCAAAGCAACAGTGTGGCTCACTTTATGTTGCCATACATTTCCTATAAAACAAATGACATCCAGTTGAAAATAGAAAACATGTGGAAGAAAAATCTATAATCTGTCAGTGTTTAACATTTCTGATGGTTTTAATGACGATCCTCAGAGAGCACATGTACAGGAAACGACTGCCTGCATGTATGTGGGAGAGTATTACCTGCTGTCCTTATCTGAATGATACTCCTCTTTAATGAACTGCTCCATCTCCTGCTGCTGATTCCTCAGCTCCAACAGCTCCAGCTGCAACACAGGAGAGAGTGAGATTAAAAAACCTTACATATTTTCTACTTTCAGTCAATGCAGAATTACTGAATATTGGTTTTGGATTTTTTCTTTTAGCCTGCAGGTAAAACATTTTTCCAGGAGATATTTTTTATAGGACAAAACAGTTTCATAAATGTTTATTAGAGTTTTTTTTTTTTTGATAGTTCTATCTGGAGAGAGACAGGAAGTATGAGAAGGAGAGAGCGGGTAGACAAAGGCCCGGAATCGAACCTGTGGCTAACTCGTCCTCTGTACGTCACTCAGCTGATCTACCCACTAAACTAAACAGGCGCCTCTTAGTCAATGTTTCACAGAAGCTGACATGATCCATGTCTGGTAATGAAATGACTGTGGGTGATATGTAAGATTTGTCCTCACCGTAGTGAGGCGCTCCAGAGCGGAGAAGCGCTCCTCCCACGTGGCGGTGGATTTCTCAAAGGCCTCGTGTCTCTTGATGAGTTTCTCCACCTCGTCCACGGTGTAGCCGAGGTCTTTGCTGGTCACGTAGGGCTCCTGAGCGATCAGCCAGGCCTCCGCTACTGAGGCGTCCCGAGCAAACTGACACACCTCTAGCACTGCAGACAAGAGAGACAGCACAGAGAGACAGGAGTTATTCAGTTTGTTCATTTATTCACGAGGAATATTTTTTATAAAGTGAAGGCATTTCAGATGTTTTTGATTTAAAAAAAGTCATTATTACAAGGTGATGACTTTTTTTTCTAAAGAGGAAAAACACATTTTTATAACCCGAGGACCTTTCTGGAGGGAAAGTAATTTGTTTTTAAAGTGAGTTCATTTTTAAAATGAGGACTTTTTTCTTTTTACAAGTTAAGATGAGTTTTGGGAAATCAAAATATTTTTGTTGCGGAGGACATTTTGGCAAGGTGAGGACAGGTTTTACAAAAACTGCAATCATTTTTGGAAAGGAGAATACTAGGGAACTATTTGATAAAGTATGAAGAGATTTGAAAGTAAAACATTTTAAAGGGAGGTCTTATTGACAAGATGATCATGTATGTTTGCTATGCTAATTTCTTTTTTTTAGTAAGGGTTTTTTTTTATGGATAAGAAAACTTTTGTCAAGTCAGCTCTTTTTTTTTTAAAAGGTTTTTTGGAGAGTAAGGGCGTTATTCAAAAGTTAGGATCTTTTTTTGTTAACATTACAGCTTTTTCTGTTTGTTTGTGTTAAGCATGTTTTACTGAACTTCAACCTTTTCAAACCTGAATATTTGTTTATATATATAAAACAGAGGCTGAAAATATATTGTTCCGGAGCACTCACATTTTTTATTGCACAGAAACTCTCTCATAGAGCATATTTATTTCAGTCTCCAGTTATATTTACAACTGCAGCAATATTTTCTCTTGATTCAGAGGTTTTGATGAACAAACACTGAGGTGCTACTTCATGTGCAGATGTTTGTAGAGCTTATTCCTACATCAGTAAGTCGCATGTTGTTGGTAGTTAAAGTATTTGTGAGAAGAAGAACGTATGTACAGGATTTGTTTTTCACTGCTGAAGGTACGTGTGGTTTTACTCACAAAGTCTGAGCCAGTCCCATCTGTCGTCCCACTTGAACATCATCTCCTTCCTTTTCTCCGTCAGCTGCACCAGCTTCTCCTTGATCTGACACAAGCATTTATACAGTCGCAGTTACATATCAGCGTTATTAAACAACTCAGGACCGGCTATTATCCTCCAAGAATTAGTATTGTAAAGTAATTAAGCGCACATTATATTCAGGCCAGGGTCAATTGCTCATTTAAATTCTTTTGGCTTTTCCATTTCTAATTAGAGTTTGCTTTTAAGTCTCCCTGATGAACCTTAGATGAGTGGAATTTTTTTTTTTCTTTCCCGGAGATCCAATTGGTTCCATAGTGCCAGACAGGAACAATCACTCCCAGAAAAGTAATTAAATCTAATGAAAGCAGCAATTTGAGGCCCGGCTGAGGATGAAAAGAAGCTGTCTGTGCTGCTGAAGTCTTACCTCAGCAGAGTCTCGGTGCTTTCGTGTCAGCAGGGTCTTGCCGAGGTCTATGCAGTCAGTGAATTTGGCTCCCCTGGCCTCAATCTCCGAGCGGATCCCCTGGTGGTATTTCTGCAGGAGCTCCACGGATGAGACATCCCTAATGTGGACGAGGGAGGGATGTCAAGTGATAACAGGTAATGCATGAAGTGTATCTACCTCTGTTGGTAGAGGCTGGAACTACAGCAGTAATTATTATACTGCTCTGACAAGTGTACAGTATCCTTTAAATGAAACCAACACCAAAGTGTTTTAAACATACAGATAGGTTTAACAGTGTAAATTAAATGTGTTGAGAATGTTCTGACCTTTGACAAAAAGGTTTTTAAAGTGAATTAAAGCGTCTCTGTCTGGATTAGATCAATAAAAAAAATCATTGACTGTTTTAAATAACATGAACATCTTCTATAAAATGCATTATGGCCTTCATGTCGCATCTGATTTATGTTTACACAAGCAAACACATTTGGACCCACTGAACAAAAAGTGTTCCCAAAATCTTCAGAAGAAATGTTCCAAATCCTTTTTCTTCAAACTCGAGCCTAATCCTCGTCTCATGCAGTATATAATGTGTGACGTCTGGTTTTAACCATCTGTTAGAGTTTTTGTAATATGTTTGAAACTGATGTGACTATAAAGATAATCTTAAACACCCAAAGGGAGAGGTTTCATATTTGTCTTTCAGCTTATAGCAGAGAGGAAATAGCAGAAATGAGTGGTGAGATTATTTCTTTGTATTAATTTGTCTATTAACAACCACACCATTAGACATGAGAGATCTATTTCAAACCTAATAAAGTGTCCATAATAAAGTGTCAAAACATAAAGAAATATTTCCTTAAAAAGGTTGAATTCTGTCGAGCTCTTTGCAAAGAGCTATTTTTCATTCTTTGTTTTTCATAAGACAAAATAAAAAATCTAATTTTTGTTGAGAATATAAATAAATGAGAATCTTAAACACAGTCAGTGTGTTTTTTTCAAATACTCCTTTAGAAAAAGCTTCTTTCAGTTTAGAAGTTGAATTAATTCAGTATAAACTATGAATGAAAGCTGGCGTGCTCTCTGTTTGATAATACAAGGTGCGCTGCAGTGGGGACAAATTGCTGAAAAAACAACCATGGACCAGCTTTCCTCCGTTTGGTGGAGTGGCCTCTGAAGCGGTTACAGGCACACTTGTGTGGGGGAGATGTTAAGGTGGAACGGTAAGATCATTTTCATAACCTTTCCACGTTAACCTCTTTCAGCAAATTCAGTCTAAAGTTCAAATTCTCTTCATTCATCTCTGACCTCGTCTGAGGTGTCCTCACCTGGGTTTCTCCTGAGTCTCTATCTGCTGGATGGTGCTCTCCATCCAGGCCATCAGGTCTTTGACCATCGTGAAGAAACGGAACTTCTCAGCCGTGTCCACCAGCTGTGCCCTGCGGCCGTCGCAGGCGTCCAGCAGGCCCTTCCAGGCTTCCGTCACCTCTCTCTCTGTGGCGTGGATGCTCTCCGCTTGACCTCCAGCATACTGGGCATGAAGCCGCGCAGCTGTCTCCTGAAACTGCTGAACCTGAGAAATGGAATCAAATCAATCATGTATATCATAATAAAATAAATGATGTCTGTCCTGTTTTACGTGGATGTTTGACATTAACTTGAACATCTGAATGTGATGTATTGTTTGTTGATCCCAGAACAATGTGACTGTTAAGTAGATGCATCTGTAAGAATCCCACTTCTGGACATCCAGTTTAGGGTTCTGACCCTTTGAGAATAGACTTTTCAGTGAAGTCGACGTTGTCTTTTGCCCTGCATTTTATTTTGGAAATTAAAAGATTAAAGAGCTTAGAGCTGAGGGAAACAGCTGAGTGGGAGGATAGCATTTACCTCACATTAAAGCGAGTAATTTGACCTATTGTTAAAATGCTAATGTTTCTTTTCAGCTTTGTTTTTTAATGTTATTAATTGTTTCTTGATCCCAGAGTAATTTAACTTGAGCTGTATACAGTCATAAAATGTCCCGTCCTTGTAAACACTTTCAGGGTTTCCCCCCCCCACCCCACTTCAGAGAAAACTTCTCACAGTTGCCCAAATATTGCAGCACTCTCTGCATGTGACTCATCAAAGTGTGCCTCCTGGCCGCAGCCTGCTGAGTTCCCTCGGAGTTAAAGGCCTGATCCCCTGTGTTGTACCTGTTTGCCTAGAGCGCTGATGTCTCTCTCAAAGGCGGCGTGCATTCTGTGGAAGGACTCGGCTTTGCTGAAGTCCTCTCCCACATCATCGGGCAGCTCTTTCTGCTTCTCCTGGATCTGAGCCACCAGCTCCTTCCCATCATCAAAGTACCTTTAAAAAAAAGAATAGATTACACCGTCTCTGTAGCTCTGAGAGCATTATTACCACATTTATCTCCTTCAAAGATGTTGAAAATATTTTCAGTTTGATATCAAAGGTTGCAGCAAATATCAATCTCAACAGTTTGGAGGCATTATTATTATTATTATTATTATTACAAAGTCTTATCCAGATGGTCGATCATTACTGTTTCTCTTACTTGAGCAGTTCATAGGATGTCGTGAGGAGCTGAGCGCGAGTGTCGATAAGCTCCAGCAGATCGGCCCAGCTCTCATTGATGCCGTCCTTCCACTCCGCCATGGTGGCCGCCTCGGTGTGGCCGGCTTCAATCAGCTCGTCTATCGTCTGGTTCACAAAGTCCACCCGCTCCTGACCCGCCATCCCCGTCTCCCGGGCGAACTCTCTGAACTTATCCCTCAGAAGCTGACAGAGAGAGATAAATACATTTTTAGAAACAAGTTACACCGAAAACAAAATGTGTTTGTTGTTTTTTTTTTTGGTGGGAAATACACATTTTCAAGCTGTACAGCAAAAATATATAAGAGATTAACTCCTATGGCAGATTTTTTTTTAATTTAACACCCAAGGAAATCTGCAGTGATTGCTCATGAATGTTCATCAAAACAGACACTCTGTGATCACTTCACACAAAAGAGAAAGCAGCATATAAAACGCTAATTATCCTCTCTCGCTTTTGTCTCGTCGTATATGAAACACTTGTTTAATTTGTATACATTGTACATATCTAGTTAGTGAGTGTATCTGTGAGATGAAATTGGTTTACATTAAAATCTCTCCACATGCATGTTTGTGTATGTGAGCGCCTCTAGTCCATCAGTCAATGTAATTATAGTGCCTTTATGTGCAATTCTAAGTTCATCACAGATGACTGACCAGCTGATAACACAGAACACATGTTCAACAGTTTGAGACTAAAGCACAAAAGAAAATGAAAAAATTATAAATCTGAAATCATAGAAAACTTTCAGCTGTTCTTAGATCCTGCAGCACGATGATTCATCGGCCCAGAGAATACAATCTTAAAGCTGCTGCACCAAAAGTTTTTCGTCCTGGTTCTTATACTCAAGACAGTGAAATAGAGAAACCAAGGCAAAAAACAAAATAAAACACAAGAATACAATCCTAACAAAATATGAGAGGTAACAAATTGAATCTCAGATGAATGTCACGTGTTTGCACGTGTGCAATATGTTCTCTTAACATGGAAAAAAATGTTTTAAAACATTTTTCTGGTGGTCATGTGTGAATCCTTTTCCAAGCCGTTTCAATTTCCACATTTACTCTGTAGGTTTCAGGATGTAATCACACATAGATCACCTGGTGAAGTCATGTGACTTTCTGTATGGACATTAAAAAAGGACTGCATAGAGCTGGTACAAAATAACTCAGTCGTAGTTGTGCACATCAATAACTGGTCTTCCTGTTTACATTCACCAAACTAATTTCAGCATCTGGTGTTGAAAAATAAAGCCAGTGCAGAAGTGTAAAAAGAAAACTGCAGTTCCTTGTGTGTCCACTTGAGGCTTTCTACAAAAGCTAAGGAATCCTCATTAGATCCCATATTAAAATGCCCACTTTTACATCAGAAATAATCATGTTTACTGCCTGGTACCAACAACAGCTTCAATATCTTAAGCTCATCTCTTTATTGGTAGTGTTGTACAGGGGTGATTTTCTTTTTCTAATGCGTCCCTTTGATTATATAATGGTTAAGAATGATGCATATATTTGCATTACTGGGCTTGTGGCTGTGTGGACTGACAGGTGGGTGCATTATAGCTATTTGTTTTGAAAGCTTAAGGCCCAAACAGCTCTGCAGCTTTGACTTTTTCTAAATTCATCGAGAGTAAAGTTGAAACTTCATAACATCTCTTCAGAAACAAATGGATGACATCACTGAGACTACGTCCACGTTTCATACAGAGTAGGCTTTGGTCGTGCGACATACCGTGACGTGGTCAAGGTCCTGGCCCATCTCCTGAGAGGAGGCCACCACGTCTTTCTCCGCGATCCAGTGCTCCAGGTCCTCCACCTCTCGGCTCAGCAGGAAGTGGTGGAAGGTGTGGTCCAGCGTCTTCCTGCGGTCCTCCGCCAGCTCCTTCAGCCCTGCGTACTGCTTATCCACCTGGCCCTGCCGCCTGATGATCTCCTCACTGCAACACAAGAGTAAAAGAAAGCGGACAAGAAAAGGAAATGAGATGCAAGGAGTTGGGAGAAAATGAGAAAAATGCAAAAAAAAAAAAAAAGAAAGATTGGATTTAGGTTTGCACTAGATGAGACGTGTGATTACGTTGCAGAAATGATCACACATTATGTGCTTGTCTCTCTTATCACGTGAAGACACATGCGACTGAGACAACAGGAGTGAATTAGCATCCTAACGAGGGGTTCTGACGACGTCTTTTCGTTTGCATTAACATAGAAGCTTTTCAAACACAAACCCGTCAGGATGGTCCTGAGAAAATAGTTTTTGGGCACGGTCAGCCAGCGTCTGAATGGAGTCAGCGTAGTCGTCCACAGCCTGCTTCAGGACCATGTGGCGCTTCAGCATCAGCATGGCACTCTGCTCATCCTGGAGGGAGGGAAGAAGAGGAGGATGAGCAAGAATGAGGAAGAGAACAGAGGAAAACAAAGAAGACGTTTTGGAGACATCAAATGAGCTTGCAGTAGAGGGTGCTATTTCTAAACAAGCATTTCAGCTTAATTGAAGGGAACTATTTAATCCTGATATTTCATGCACTGCATCTTGTTATTAGCACAACATGATACGCCTGGTTTTGTTTTCAATACAAAGATCCAGGTGTCAGACATCTGCTGCCTCATTACTTGTCCGTCTCATGCCTAACCTTGGCCTTTTCATCAGCGATCATGTAGAGCTCCTGCTCCCCGATCCATGCTTCGGCCTCGTCTGCGTCGTTGTAGTACTGCTGGGCTAAGTCAGAGCCGTTCAGCCTCTCCCTGCGCTTAGCCATCTCATCCTGCAGCCGGGCCCAAGCCTCGTCCAGGTCCTTCGTTTGCTCCACTATTCTGTCGGCCTCTGGTCTGCCCTCTGCCCCCGCGGCTGCAGCCATCCTCTGTCCCCGTGCCAGCACCTCATCGACGCGAGGCTGGTGGCCCTCGATCTCCCTCTGCAAGGTCTGAGGGGTCAAGAGGGGCAGACGGTCAGGGTACAACAATGCCAAAAAGGACAATATGTTAGTGTCTGAGTGGTTCACACATTTTTGCACAAAACAATTTTGAATAGGTGTCTTGTATTTTTGTTGAATATTATCAGAAAGGGATGAGGCCATCTTTGAAATCTGAAAAATAGTTGGCACACTATTCTGTTATCGTACTAATTGTACTAATTCTGATATATTTTCCCCATTTTTCCAGCAAAGAAGTGGGAAAAAAAGCCATATACCTTCTTTTTACGATTTCTCAAATATGGATATTCGAAGTTTTTTGTCATATATGATATCAAACTGAATGTCTTTGGGTTTTGAACTGACAGTGGACACATTAGTTATAAAAAGATGTCGCCCTGAGCTCTAGGAAATTGTGAGGAGAATTTTTAATGAACAGTTAATTGAGAAAATAATATTAGATTAATTGAGCCCAAAAAGTTAACCACCGCTGCATTTTTTTTTTTTTTTTTGAACAGAATCAAAATCCCGTACCTGGTTCTTCTTCTGCAGCATTTGCACGCTCTGAAGATTGTGGCCGTGCTCTTGCGACATTGCCAGGGGCATCCTCTCCTCAATCCAGAGCTGACAGAGAAAAGAAGGAGAAGAGTTATTACATTTGAGAAACTCACTTCTATTGAGAAGCAGCTCCAACACACTTCAGATGTACACAGAGAATTAAAAAAAAAAGATTAAGAGCATCTTTCTCGTACTACATTTTACTCCATTTCAAAAATGTCTCCGGTATCTCGACCAGTAAAAATCCCTCTATAAGCTTTCTCCTCCACCTCATGTAAGTGGATTTAGACAGTGAAGCCAATAAAGGATTAAAGCTTTTTACAAAGATTCACCTGGAGGGTCAGTTTCATGTAGAGGGAGTAGGGGGGGTTTACTATCATGCATAAGAAGTACACACAGTATAATTGAAAACTTAATATTCAAATGAGTAATTTATCAATGGGGATAAAAAGCCCTCTGAAGTTCAGGCCTGAATATGTATAAACTATAAGTCCCAAAAGATGTTATCATACTGTCATTTAAAAGCTGACATGAATTCATTTTGAATCACCTGACGTTATTTTAATTGTGTGCTTGTATCACTTTTGCAAAGCAATAAGTTGAGACAGATGAATACTGCGGTGAAGCTGTGTCCATGCTTACTAGCTCGTCAGCCAGGTCTCTGTAGAACTGATGGACAGCCTTGGCGGCCTCCAGCTTGCCCCTGCGCTGGGCCAGAGGAGTGAGGAGCTGTTGGAAGTCTCCCTGCAGGGCCTGCTGCTCGGCCTCCAGCTCCGGCTGGTCCTCCCTGCCTCCTCCGTGCTTGCTGACGGCCTCCTGGAGCTCCTCCAGCTCGCGCGCACGGTCACGCACCTGGTTCTCTGTCATCTGGCAGGGGAGACAATTAGAGGAAAAGATTTATAGCCTTTCAGAAGCCTAATCAGGATATAGTGGAGGGTGAACTCACAAAAAAGTTAGTTTGTACTGTTGTTCACAAAAACTGAGCTTAGCCGCTGTTTATACAAGTTTTATGAACTCAACAAAGACTGTTATTTAATTAAGGAAATATTCAGTGCATTTATTATTTCTTAGAAATAAAACTTTTCTTTTTTAAAGATTTGTGCTGTGTTCAGATGCCAAAAGTAAACAAACATACAGATTGTACACAAAGGGTCTTAAAGCATTTTTAAAAAGCAGAGCAAAGAAATCACAGACACAAAAAAATGGTAATTAGAGTCTAAAAGACGCAGACCTGATGCTTCTTGAGCAGGATGTTGGCATTAGTCAGATCTTTCACTTCCTCGTCCCCGCTCTGTAGCTGCTGCTGCAGCCCTCCGAGCCACTTCTTCATATCAGCCAGGCTCTGGTCGAAAAGTTCCGAGCGGTTAGCATCAAACAGCAGCCGGGCTTTCTCCTGGGTCGTAGACTCCAGTTTGTCCCACAGCTCGTGGAGTTTGGCCAGACGCTCCTTTACGATTGGCTCAAATTCAGGCTTGGAATCCATGAGCTCCTGACCCTCCTGTAGCCACAAAGACACAGACAGAAACCACCACAGTTATTTAAAAAAAAAACAGCTTTACCTGAGGTGGATAGATGTTAATAAAAGAAAAGAAAAGCATAGTTTGTTCAATGTGACAATTCTTAACAATCGCTCACTAAGACCTGCCTACTTTTGCGTGATCCAATGAAAAATTAGAGTTTCCACCAGCAATGGAGTCATTATGGAAGCTAAAGATGCTTTCACTGTTTCCTTACAGAGACTTAAAGACCTAATGAAAGCTTCCTCGTCATGGATCTAAGCCTGCATTAAATCTGTTCAGTCAGACAACTCACAACTGGAATGGTCTGAAAAGTTTATTGCAGCAACTAAAAAGTGTTTGAGTTTGACGACGAGTCTTCAACCTCGTCACTCTGTGGAGAAATTTGAGAATTGATGAGAAAATGTCTTATATCTGGAGTCTGGGGGTGGATGCTGGTGAGGTGGTGGATCTTAAAGTATGAGTGCAGTGCTGGTTCAGAGAAAGAGACTAGAAATCATGCTGCTTAAATAATCCGCCAACTCAGGACGAGACGCTTAACTGTCACATGTCAGTGTGAAACTACAACATATGAGGACCTGTTACTGCTGTTCAGACAGTCCTCTCTCTGGCATCAAACGACCTAACAGACACACAACATTACAGACCTGGTCCAGTTTGGTGAGCCAGTCCCTGTTGGCGGCCAGCTCCGCCATGAAGGCCTGATGTTTCAGCCACTTGCTGTGGAGGTTCCTGGCCTCATCATACGACGTGTCCTGAGCCGTCAGCATCTTCTCGTTGATCCACAGATTCAGCTGAGGCAGGGAGAGGAGGACAGAATATCAGAGATTAGCAACACAAAGATTCAAATACAAAAAAATAAGGAAGATTATAAGCTTGGGGGGGAAGACGGCATTTTAAATTTGGGGAGAGTTGAGTTCATTTGAGCAGGATTTATTTCTTAATCTTTGAATAGATAAATTACTAATTAGCCAAATTGGACCCCTCTTCCAAATAAGGAAGACATACATTAAGTCCAGGAGAGCATCATCAAGTAGCATTTTGTATTCATTAACACAGTCCAGTGTGTTTAGCAAATTGACTACAATAATCAAGACAAGGAAAATAAAATGATGTCAAGTCTCGGTTAGGGAATAATTAAACTAATAATCCACATATTAATTGGTGTTACTTAATGACTACATGAACGGTGAACTGACGGTGAACTCACATCCTGAGCATTTTGCAGGAAATGCTGCAGGTCGTAGTTGTCTCTCAGCTTCTCTGACACCTCCTGGGCTCTTCTTTTATTCTTGTTATGCCTGTAGGTCAAAAACACATATCCAAGAGTCACACTCGGAGTATTATCTTCCTCCATCTTTTCATTCAACACCTCTCTGCGTGACATAACGGGATGCATCACTGAACAACCGAGAGAGAGTGAATCATTCCTCCTCCACACAGAAAGAAAAAAAGAACCTGACACAGTAACCTAAAACAGTCATCTGTTTTCTCTGCTACACCGTGAACAATAGCTCTTACTTTAAGATCAATATCCATTATTGCGCCGCCTGTCTAGCAAGCTGAATTGTGGGAGTTAACGGGAAAAGCTCCCTGGCCCTCTCTCTCTCTCTATTGCTTCTTGTTGACATTACAGATACGGTGATAGGAAAGCTGTTCCACTGCAGAGGTTGTGAAAACCTAAAGGAGAATCTATTATCCCGTATCAGAAAAGGGCCTCCTGAAGTATATATCAAACATCTAGAAGTGAAAATATGGACTCCAGCTGTGATAAAAAAAATAATAAAGAGGTTTCCTCAAGTTTGTTTTGAGTGTATATATGACTGCAGTTCAGAAGCAGAAGTTACCAACATGAGACATGCATGGAATAAATGTGTAAAATGTCGCTGAACATTTAATGCAATCGTTCTTCATTCAACTTAGCCACTCCCTCTCTACCACTTCCACCATCTCCCTGCTCTGGTGATCAGCTGATTTCGAGTGATTACTCTTTAAGTAATAATCCAACCCGATTCAGCCACAACCTCTCTCAACCAGTCGCCCTGCAGCTGACGTCAAATTTCTAAAATCAGTTTTTCTCTCTTCCACGGTCAGTTTGTCATTTCAGTGCGATCGCTGCGACCCCTGTCCGCCCCGGTCAGCGCTCAGAATCCCACACCTCACCACATCCTGCATTCTACTATCACCACCACCACCAGTGTCTAGACTACATAGGTGGGGGGGGGTCACAGGGATTTGTTTTCTTTGCAATAACTTTTAAAAGTCTTTAAATCATGCCTTAAATGCCCTTATGTTCTCTAATATACTTCTCTTTCTTTCTTATTGTTGTTCTTCTGTCTCTGTCGGCAAGTTTCCCGATATTAATACCAATGTGATTGTAGGAAATACGTTCGACTGGATATTTTTTGAGAAAGAAATATCATTTAAAAAAAAAGTTTTTATAAGAAAGTAACAGATGTTTGGTAATTTCCAATTCTGATTTAATATTGTGACACACAGAGCGTTCATCATGTGTGGGAAGTTTTATCAAAGAGACTCCTTTAAGTAGAAATCTGCTCATTAACACCAAAAGTTGTCAATAGGAGTTTGGATGATGCTTTATGTAAATCTTTTTTTATTATTATTATTATAATGACTGACCTGTCTCGGATTGAGTCCATTTTCTCCTGAACCTTCCCAGAGTACAGGTTGTTGCCGTCCACCAGCCGCTGTCCGCCCTGCAGAGCGCCGTCAATTTTGTCCTCGTTGGCCTCCATGGTGCTCACAAAGTCCTCGTGCTTCTTCAGAGCCTTCTCGGCCCCGGCCAAGGTGTCGGGCTTGTCTATGTGGGCCAGGGTGTACTCCTGCAACGAAGACAAGAGACCAGTGTAGCTGACTACATTATATGACAAACCTGCAGAGTGGTAACTGACCCCGCTGCATTCTTCCAACCACATTCTTTTAAATACCTGCAGCACCTCTAACCCCATCATTTAAAGCTCACCCTAACTCGAAGGAGGGTCTACTTAAAGGCAGAAATGTCTTTAAACAAGTCAATAGTCTTCATACACATGCTGAACTGTACCTGGTTGTTGAGGATGGCATTAACGGCCTTGCTGTCCCTCATGAACTGCTGGAAGCCCAGACCCTGGTCCAGGAAGCTCTTCCTGCTGTCCCACATCTTCTGCAGCTCATACCACCCGCGGTCCAGCCCCTTCAGCCTCTGCTCCAGCTGCTGGTACTGAGGATCATCCTCCTGACCCTGTGTGACCTTAGCGCCAGTGTCCCGTACGCGGTGGTAGTCCTCCTCGTGGTTGTTAATGTCTTCCCGCACGGCATCGTGGAGGCTGAGCTGCTCCTCGGCCTCTGGCAGCGTTGCAGGCACTTCCTCTGATGCCACAGCCTTCTGGGTCTTGAAAAGCCAGGACTGGAAGTCATCCATGTCTTGCAGGAAGGTCTGTAACTTGCTCACCTCGCCCAAAGAGTCTTCTCTGTCTTTTAGGGTCTTCTTGAGAGTGTCCCAGGCTGCGTCCAGGGCTTTCCTGCGGGCCAAGATGTCATCTGCGTAGTCCGGATGGTCCTTAGCCAGCTGGTCTGCCTCATTCCTCAGGAAGGTGAGCTTGGTGTCGATGGCTGCCAAATCTCTCTCCATGCCAAACAGTTTTCTCTGGATGGTCATGACGGCTGCCAGGTCATTACCCAGGTCTTGTGTGGACTCTATCACCCGTGTTTTATCTCTGATCCAGGCTTCTGTCTCGTCACACTCCAGCCCGTAGTTGTGCAGACTGAGAGCAGAATCCACTTTCCTCTTCTTTTCCTCAACCATGGCCTTGAAGGCCTCCCACCTAAAAGAAGATAATTCATTTAATGGAATCACTTCAATATCACTTTCTCTCAGGGTATGTTTTGAAACTTTGGTTTCAATTTTTTATATCCCAAAAATATCCAGCAAATCCACAAGTTTCTCTAGATAATCGTATAATTTCATGCTAATCATACAGTAAGAAACGAATCCCCTGGAAGAACAGCTTCATTTACTGTAGACTCAATTATATCTGTTTAATTTCTAACTCAATTGTTATTATTATGCATCCCTGTGGACAAATTTCCCATTTCTGCATGTCCAAATGACCTGCCTTGCACTGACTCAAACAGCTTGATTGTAATTAACTGGAAATAATTGGAAGTTCAACCAACTGAACATTTACTCATTTTTTCCAAATTTCCATAATTCCAATTATAGACCTGTTAAATACCAAACTTTTGAAATGCCTGAGTGAAAACAGAGAAAAAATTGGCTTCTTTTTTAACTGTTATTTCAGGTGTGACCCTGAATTATCGATCAGAAAAGTGGGACAAATAAACAGGACATTGTGCGACACCTGCACTGAATAAATTAAGACACTTAAAGCACCTTTTATTCAGTCGTGTCTGACATTCTTTGACCTCCTTGGTGCGAGGGTGTCTGCTGTCCTCCAGCTGTTTGACGGCTTTGTTGACGTCATCCACTCTTGACTGAACATTTGCCATATCTTGAGCGAGTATACTCAACCTAAAAACAAGAAAAGTTGGTGTTAGTCTTTATGGAACAATGTAAATAATAAGTAACAAATAGGAACTATTTCTTTGGCTTTTCAACATTGCTTCTGTAGAACTACTTTTTCCAAGTATTTAAGACAAGGTGTTGTAAATCTAGGCGAAGTTGCAAAGATAATTCTGCAGCGCATAATCACATATTTGGTTCTGTGTACCTATTCTGTACTACTTCCAGGTCCTCCAGCTTCTCAGGCACATCCAAACCCACCAACCACGTCTCCTTCTGGCCCATCCAGAGCTCACAGGCGTCCGTCTCACTGAAAATGGTGTACAGAGCCATGGTGTCCTCCAGCTTCTTCTGTCTCAGGTCAGCCAGAGACATGAGCTCCATGTACAGGTCTTTAATGTCTTTCAGGCGTCTCTGGATGTCAGGGGTGTTCTGTAGCTCTTCTGGCAGAGCGTTGGCCTGTTTTGATAAAGCATCGATCGTGGCTCCGTTCTTGATTGTCTCATTTTTCAGACTTTTGTGCTTCTTCAGTTGCCGCTGGGTGGTGTACTCATCATGGCCTACGTCGTCGCTGCTCATCTGCCTCTTAGCATCGAGCAGCCACGCCTTAAGTTCATCAGCATCTCCCTGAAACTGGAAGAACCTCTGTGTGTCCTGGAGGTTCTGTTTTCTAAACGCAGCCAGCTCCTCCAGCTGCTGCCACTGCCTCCTGGTGTCATTCATGCGCTCTTGAACCTTCGGGGAGCCAAAGTGCTTGGCATTGATCATCTTTTCTCCCTCAGCTAAGACCTGCTCTAAGTTGGCGCGGCGGGCCCCGAGCTCGTCCTCGAAGGCGCTGTGTTTGCTCTGGAGCACCAGCACGCTCGTCAGGTCCTTGCCATAATCCAGAGAGGAGAAAATGTGCTCCTTCTCTCTGATCCAGCTCTCCAGCTCAGCCGCCTCCCACAGGAAGTACCAGAAGCAGCGGGACTGCTCCAGTCGAGCTCTTCGCTGCGCTGCCAGGGCACAAAGCTCCTGGTAGCACAAGTCAAGATGCTGGACCCTGTCGCGGATCACCTGAGGGTCACATGGCTTGTAGGCTAGGGGGGAAATGAAGCACAATACATACGTTATCTATGATTAGTCTTTTCTCTTTTTACTTATTGCTCTATAGGTTTCAGGCTTGTTGTTGTCTATGCTAATTTAAACTGTGTAAATGGAAAGATGAGAAATTATAGAAGACCTGACACATTCAAAAACTTTCATTTTTAACTTTAACAAGAAACTGTTGAAACACTGGCCAAACTATCTGACATGTATTTATCTACAAAACTATGAAATCATGGGGAAAACAAACTTCACACAGATTAAAAATCTTAAAATATTTATGCAATGCTTTATGTACTTCATCCACTTGTTCAAAATAAAAGAAAACCCTAATTTTACTTCACTTAGTGCACTATGAGAGCAGATGTAAACATCTAAGTATCAATAGTTTTTACAAATTGTCAATTATTCTACCCAAATTGGGTTAATAAATAATGTTCATCAGCCTTTTCAGCAATCCACAATCAAATTCACAATTTGGTTTTCGGGTTGAGCATTTTCATTCCAGGTTCAATACAATGAAGCCAGCTAAACTTCATAAACAAAGTGGTGTTAATCTTTTTTTGTTTTCATTGCAGGACTTCATGGCCTTCAATGAACTGAAATAGATGGAAAGTGTTCAGAGTATATTGTACAAAAAATGATCACCTGAAGAAGACCTCTGGTCAAAACGTAGTGATCATTAAAACCCTTTTTTGCGGCCTATCTTCTTTCTCAGTTTTGCTATTTTTGCACTGCCCTGCACCTACGTGATGTGACACCTCTGATTGTATTTGGACAGTTATCCACACTGCTCAAAATGTAATGTGGTTTCATATCTGGCTCTTGTCAAGGTTTGTAGCCTACATCCATTTATTGTAATCAATCTAAATAATACAAAAGAGCAAGGGGCATGACAAGCCACTGCACTTACTATCTCCATTGGCAAACTTGAGAGCAGCTGCACTGGCGTTCTGAACTCTCTCTGCCTGCAGAGCGATGTCGTTCTCTAACAGAGCGTGTTTCTGTAACAGATCTTCCACTTCCAGCAAGTGTTTGCCAAAGTCAGGAGACATGAGCCGAGCCTGAAAGAGACATGGCAACATATGATCAGTCAAGTGTCATATACTGTGTGTTAACAGCTTATTAATACTGCTTCCTGTGATGTACCTTCATGTCATCCATCCAGCTGATAATGTACAGCATCTCCTGGAAGATCCTCTGCAGGGTCAGGTTTTTATCCAGTCGCCCCCTACGGGCCTTCAGCAGCTCCTGCAAGTAATCCCACAGGCGCAGGACGTTGTCTTTCCTCACGTCGATACGTTTGGCGTCGTGGTATCGCTCAGACTCCAACTCCTTTGAGATGTCCACCAAGGCCTGAACACGTTCCTCGTACGCCGCAATGTCTGTCTCAATGGCGTCGTGCTTCTTCTTTGCTGCTTCCACGGCTGGAAGGTCGTAACCAAAGTTATCCTGAGGACAAAGATAAGCACAAGACAGGATACTTTTACTCTTTATAGTAATCCTGGCTTTGAACGTAAAAGCTCCTACAAGGGGTTTTTACCTGGGTTAAAAGAAAATCTAAAATAAATACTAATGCCTCTACAGACCAACAGCATACAGATTGATTATTTATATATTATTCATGTTAGTAAATCATTCTCGATGCCTGGTACTGCTGCTACAGGGTCAGTGATGGATAAAGCAATTTCAAGCACACAGACCAGACTGCCTTTGTTTACTTTTTTGGCTGAATGATAGACTGTGAGTAATACGTTTAACAGTTGAAAGACAGCAGATCAATGATTTTGGGAGTCTCTGATGTGTTTTTTTTGTTTTTTTTTACCTGAGCCACGAGTCTCTGGTTCTCCAGGAGCCACGTCTCTCTCATGGCGGCCTTCCTGTCGAATCTTCTCGCCATCTGCTCAAGCTTCTCCTGTCTGATCAGCTCGTCCCTCAAGACGCGCTCCCGCTCGTGCTCCGCCCTCTCCAGACGCTCCCATGCCTGCACAGAGACGAGGAGGTGGATCGTAAAGGGATTGCAGGGTTTTGCTGGTTGCAGTTGTGATGTTTGTGAAAAAATAATAACTTTAGAGAGCCCAAAGTACATTCTTCAAAAAGAATTGTAACAACTAATGGTTAAAATCTCTCATAAAAAATGTCTATAGTGGTGTGAAAGAATAAGAGCTTCACATATAAAAGATAGAGCATATTTGGTGAATGACCTGAATGGTTACAGGATTATCAAATGTGTTGCAGATTCATCTTTGATCAATGTCCCAGTTAAATAATCAATATGTTGTTTCAGTTACATAAAGGGACATATGACAGAAATCCACTTGTGATGTGTTGTGCTGTTATGTTCTTTCTTCTGAGACACAGATTTATATTTTAAGTGCTGTCACACCTTTATGTCCCCAAGAGAAGGCTTTTATTGTACAGCTCACTGAATGCAACTACATCATTACCGGTATAATTCAATTCATTTTTATTTTGATCGTGTCTTCGGGACTGTGCTCGGCTACATGAATGAATTTTGTAAATCTAATTGAGCTGAACGCCGGAGCTTCACACCAGATGTTTGCATGCTGGTCAAAAGGAAAAATCAAACAGAAGACAAACATTTCCGTATAAAACCAGAGCTGCATTGATCAGGAATCAGTTACTTGGTTAATTATAATATTAAAGCAAAGATGCTAAACTTTCTCCTGTTATAGCTTCTAGGAAGTTTTGTGTCATTATCTGATAATAAGCTATCTTCTTTCATTTATTTCTTTAATTGTTACTTTATTACAGTAATCTGCCAAAATAGTTATCTGAAGGCCTTATCTTAGAATTTGCATTTGGCTTTTTATGTATCTTTTAAGTCATTAAACAGAAAAAACTTATTGAGTATTTGGTCTAAAGATGAACAAAATAAGGAAAATACTTGATTCTTGTTCTCACCCTGTTGATATCTGCGACCAAGGCTCCCTCTTTGGGCGTGTAGACCCTCTGGTTGTTTGCCCTCATTCGACTCTGGATGGTGAACAGCAGCACCTCCAGGTTTCCTTCTCCTGGAACCTGAAAGAAGACGGATGTAAGTCACTGAAAATAGTGCAGGGAAGCGGTCCTGCAGTTATGACCCCCCCCAGAGCATAAACTTTATCATGCAAGTTTACTGGATTAAGAATATCCCATGTTACCCTCCAACATATCCAATAATTTGTCTTCTTTGTTACACCCTCACTAAGGTTTAAACCACATCCAACCTCCAGGTACACAAACCAAAAGTCCAGTTGGTATTTTAGTCCATTTGATTGTCTGTTTTTCTTCTTTTCACACAAAAACTTCCTTAATATTACTTTATATTCTCTACATTTAAAAATCAATATGGTCAAAAAATCTATATAAATGCCTTCAAGTAAGATTAAAAAAGAGAGTCCAATTCCTCCAACGGTGCTATGAAAATTGATCATGTATTACATTTGTTGCAACCCTGATATTTCATGAAAGTTTCTTAAAACAAATCATTTTAAAGTTGAGTCTGAGTGTGATGCAATAAGAAGGTGTCTTTGCTTCCACTCACTTGGCGGCTTCTCTACGGTGCGGTAGGTGTTGAAGGCCTGAAGCTGCTGCTGAACTCCACTCAGAGAGTTTGCCAGTTTCCGATTGTTCAGCACGATGATGGTCTGCTCGATCCACGTCAGCAGGTCTGACGCCAGCGTCTCGTACTTATCGATCATCTTCTCCGTCTCAATGGCCTGATCCAGAACCTAAAGAGGAAGTTCAAAGACAATTAGGTAAGAAGGTTGAATAAGACTTAACAGAAGTTTACTTGCATTAAATGAGTTTTCATCTCACTTTTCCAACTCTTTTGCCCTCCACAGCGAGCTGCTTCATCTTTGAGAAGTAGTGGTAAAATGCAACGACGTATGTGATGATTGACTTCTCATCTGGGTTCTCTGTGAAGACATCTGTAAAAAAAAAAAAACCAGCAGACAAGTCAGTCACTGTATCACAAAATACATCAGTAGTCAAGTTGTTTCTTTCCACCAGACTGAAAAACATTTTGTTTTCAATTAACAGCCTCCCTCAGTTACCTTCAGGGTCTAACAGTTTGGTCACATCAAGCTTCTGCTCTGCTACGTTAAAGGCATTCTGAAGGTTGTGTGTTGGGTTGGACTTTCTCAGAGTACTGTAATCCACCAAGTCTGGCCTGAAAGAGAAAGATGGAGAGAAGAGAGCGTGAGATAAATGGAGGAGAATGAGGAGGAGAGACACTTAGCAGTGATTTTCCTTTGTGTTTACATTTCAAAGCTGCTGAGATCGGAGTTGTGCGTTTATCTCTACTTACCTGTGCTTGTGTATGAGAGCATTGAAGGCCATGCCATCTTTCCAGCTGGTGGTGAAGTTTGTGATGTTCACATTGGGATACCTGCAGAACAGTTACCAAAAGATGTCATTTATTGAATACAAGGGACATCACTCAGAGGCTCCTGTTTTAAACCAGCGTCTCAGATCTTTTCAGCACTGCAACATGTGTAGTTATTAATCAAATCTCTTTTCTGTAGTTCCAGGTCTGAGCAGATGATGAGCATTTTTAAATTGATAACACTTGGCGATTGGTTCAAAACTTCCTAGTATGTGGGGCACCGGGTGGCCTAGTGGTTATGTCACATGCTCCATGTACAGAGGCTATAGTACTCATTGCTGTGGCTTCGGGTTCTAATCCAACCTCGGCCCTTTTCTGCATGTTGCCCCCTACTCTCTTCTCCTAACATTTCATGTCTCTCTTAAGCTGTCCTATCAAATAAAAAAGGCAAAAATAGCCCAAAAAATACCACAAAATTATTTGAAGAATCTTGAAAGAAGTAGGAAATTTAGAGGCACAAAAAAACTGAATACATGGGTATGCTAGCAAACCTCAACACTTTAAAAAAAAAACTTTAACCTTCAGAAAATGTTCATCATTGTGGGAAGAAGACAAGTGAGACAAGTAAATACCATTATTATGCCAATACTCTAAACATGAGGCTACATGCAGCACGTTAACAGGGGCAAACTGCTAACCTGGCTCAGTCAGGAAACTAAACTTGCCCACCAGCACCTCTAGGGCTCACTGGTTGGAGACCCTGACATTTTGGGATTCATGATTCATTCAGTTTTTGCTGTACTTTCAATGAGCTAAATTTGAATATGAACACTTCTCTCATATCAGTACGGTTAACTTCGCTCGAGCCAGTTAGCCAAAGTAGCAAAGAGCAACACAGGAATTCTCCAAGGTATAAAAATCAGATAAGCAGCAGACCTAAAATACTTGTATACTTAGTTTATTTTTAATACAAATGAAACAAATAAGAGCTGCTTCTAGATGTATTTTGTTAGCTTTAGACTAAGCTGGCCTAGTTAGGTACTATGAAGACTAAGTCGAGCTATTTTTTTGTGAGACATAATTGTAACTTAATATCCAGCATACAGACATTAAGAATGGTATTTATCTCTTCATTTAGAACTTGGCAACCAAGGCAACAAGTCCCTAATAAAGCATTTCTTAGAGAAAAATATTATTTTGCACTCATACAGATCTGTAGCCTAAAAGAAAACAACACAGATATTTTGTTAAATATAGAAAATACCTAAACTGTGGTTTTCATATTCTGCAAACTTTGCTGTACAATTAATTAAATACTCCTTGTCTGAAAATCAAAACAAACAGTTCTTTACTTTCCACACACACTGTGGCCCTTTTCATTAAATAACATTGTAAAAATGAAAACACTAATTCTTGTAATTGTGACTATTTTAATTGGAAGCTTGACCATAAAAACTGAATAATAAAAAGAGTGAAGTATATTATTTATAGAGCAGGATACTAAAATATGCTCAATATGATTTGAAGCATTAAGTATACCAGGTCAATTTAAATATTCAAAGTAGTTCTTAAAAAGAGAATTATTACAGACAATAGAGACAAAAAAAATATACACTTTTAATCACTGGTGATTTACAGCAGCTAATTCCAGAGCATATTAGCAGCAGACTGGTGAGGAGAAGGGTCACACATCCCACTTACCCTGCAGTTTTCATCTGACACCACAGAAGAAGAGCGTCCTTGGCTGAGCGTGTCTCCTTCTGGTCTGCCTGGCCCGTTTCCACAATAATGTCCTGGATCTGATGCAGAACAACAAGCACAGCTGGATGGTAAATAATGAATCTTAACTAATTACTGCCTGGTTTGCAATCAAAGAAGAATCATTTACAACAGACAGGAAAGAACATGGTAGTAACATGTAGCTAATTGGGAACATTTTGACAAAGTGGCACAAATAACCCTTTGAAATACATAATTCACTAGAGCTCACTGAAATACTAGATGTGTCTTATTGTGCGAAACAAAAATAATCGCAAGTGGTTCATCATCAATAGTATTAGCCGTCTAGATTCTCATAAATCTTAACCAAGGGAGGAATTGATAGAAGCAGGGGGGTAATTATTGAGGTTCTTTTTTTCCCACAGTGTGGGCCAGTAATTAGAGCAAGGATGTGATCTGAGAGACAGGTCCTGAGAGACAGCTAAATTTAGCAAGCTTTGGTTCTCCTTGGTTCCTGCAGACTGAAAAGATACAGACAGGACCACGTTAACTCATTTCTTTTCAGTTTCTTCTTCTTCTTTTAAAAAAAAAAAAAAAAAAAAATCTGAATAATGCAGGAGGCCATATTGTTTGAACTTCGGCGTCTAAAAATAACAGTGTTGCTGTCAAATTAAAAATAAATATATGCCCCCTCCAAGAAGATAAAAGAGTCAAACAGACATGTTCTGATGTTTTTGGATGTGCTTCTAACAGCAGATAATAACGGCTGGAACCTGAAGGCATCATGTTTGAGGAAAAAAGAAACAAGGAGAAACATCCCACGGCTGGATGTTGAAATTGTATTTGTACTTCACGCGTATACGCCCAATTCAGACGCTTCTCTTTACAGTCACACACCTGTCTAGCAAACACATAAGCCTGTGTATTTTGGCTGCATGTATATGTTAATAAATATGAGTCATAATATGCTCTGGATATATTCATAAACTAGTCCATTCAACATACATATACCGTATATATGATAGTGACTGCACATGTCATAGCTGTATCCAAACCTTGGTCAGAAAGCGGAACTGTTATTCTAATTTTGAGATATAAGAATCTAAAAGAGTGCTCAACAAGATCTGCAGGATAAAGAATAGACACATTTCCTCCTTATAAACAAAATGTATGAAGCTAAAATGTTTCAAACCCTGCACTTTTTTTTTACTCCTGTCACCCTTCCTGATACAAAAACAGATTTTGGCACTCAAAGCATCATCACTGAATTTCAATATGCAATTAAACTTTGCAAATGCCAGTCTGTATTGACTCTTGATGCTTTGACTAAACTTCGAACTGTTTATGAATAGTGCATTAGGATTTCATTACCCTTACACTCACCAGTATCAGATGTAGACTGAAAACTGCTCAGAGTATTGGACAACAGAAAATCACATAATATAAACTCTATATGCAATCAATGCAATATATTGGATTCAGTATTAGAATATATTTATGTCACGTACTGAATCAGACTGAATCTAAACTGGTGAATAATTACTTCATTACCAAAAGTTAAGGTCAGGTACTCTTTCAAATATCTCCACTGTTCAGTTCTACACTTTATACTAACTTATTAATTTCTTCTTGTTGATATTTCTCTTTATTTGCCTATATTTCCTACTGCTGTGTATAAACTAAGAGCCATTGTAATGTCTTAACTTTCCCCCAGGCTGGCAAATATATCTTTTAAAATGATTTAAAAATCAAATATTTAACCTCATGAAAGCCCAAAGAGTGGCCCCATGTAATACACATAAAATGTAATGACTACAGTCAAAGTATTGCATTGTGAATTATAAAACTTGCACTGATTTATTTATCATTTTGTATTCTTCATTTCAAATAGTTCTTTATTTATATAGTTTGATTGTACTGCTGTAACACGTGAAACTCCTTTATAGATCAACAAAATGAATCCTATTGCATTCATACAGACATAGGGGAAGAAATGTTCCCCTCTGTGTGTTTATAATATTGACAGTTCATGGTTCAAAACATCAGACTCATTTTAATACAACGTCTTCAGACTTTGATGATGAGTTCAGTGTAGAAAAGTTTACCTGGAAGCGAAGGATGATGGTCCAGATGAGGCCGAGGATGAGGCGATGGTTGCCGTCGACGATATCGTGGGAGCCCATGTTCTCCAGGTGGACCCTCTGCTCTTTGAGGAACTGCAGTGCCTTGTCCACATTCTCCAAACAGTGGATACGCATTCGACCCTTGGTGGGTTTTGGCTAAAGGCAGAAATGAAACGGAAAATATGGAGAGAGGGAGAATCATAAATGCAAGACGACAAAGAGGAAGAGAAAAACATTCAAAATGGAAGTCATGACGAGGTAGCTTCTCACCAGTCGTTCACCGGACAGCACCTCCAGCAGTTTGATGAGCATGCGTCCGTCTCGCAGGTCCAGGTAGAGGTCAGAGATGCGGCAGCCGACCCGGGACAGGATGGAGTTGACCCATTTAGTGAAGGTCTTCTTCTGAACCGCCTCACGCTCATCTGATGGGAGCACAAAGGAAAGAAAGAACATGAGCTCCTTGAGCGATTAATTAACCTCACATCTACAGAACAGTACTGCTGAAGCCTCTTTATGACCTACAAAAAGACGACTGCCTGTATCATAACGGTTATTTTAATGTCTTTTACTGCTGCCACCAGGTCGGCGTCAGATGAGGTTGATGACAGCACACGGACCTGAACAGCCTTTGTTTACATTTCTGCAGAAAAATAATATTCAAGGTGGGTGATACGTTTGACATTTAAAGAAGCAGAAGGAATTTGTTTGTCAGAAAATACCACTTGAGCATAAACAGAGCAGGATCAGCAAAGAGAGAAAATGTTCTGCTTTGTCCATTAGGGGTCGCCAAAATCAACACAAACATGAATCATCACAGTAGCTTTAATCCTCAGTGCAGTTCATCTGTGCAAGTGAGCACAAAAAAACACGCAATCCAAAATGATTCTTTGGCTCCACTGATTTAATTCAAAACATCTTAAAACAGTGGTGTGATGGGCGGCTCTCTCACTCCTGTCTGAAGCTTCCTGCAGCAGCAGATCCCCTCTAAGAGTCCTTGATATTATAACGCCACACCACAGCACACGACACAACACAAAACACTGACAGAAGTCCTTAAAGGAAACATGAGAGCAAATTTGTATCTTTCTAAGGAAGAAATATCTGAAATATGTTTTTTTGATTAATAAACTTATTCTGAACAATAGAGAAACACACAGTTTGATTCTGAGGTAGTGTGGGATCATGGAGTTGTTGTCTTGATTTATAAACAGCCACATTTTTCAATAAAAGTTCTCCAGTGTGACCCAGACATAAATCAAGTTATATCCTTTATAACTTTCTGATGTAACATCCATTTTTCCCCCTGTCAGAAACAATGAATGACATGTAGTATTGTACAAAGATTTTTCTGAATTTGAGCATTGTTCATAAATCATAAACATAACTCATAACAGAAATGTTTTCTACACTTTCAAACTTCTTCATCTTTACTTAAATGTTTCCCTTGATAAGCTACTATAAGTAAAAACACACGTCAGGGGTAGGATTTGGTTGTCAGATATTCTTATCAGGGGCAAAAACAATTGGGACCGTCCTGCTTTTTACCGAGCCATGAGAGTTCTTTAAAAGAAACTCTAACTTCAAAAAGGAACTCTGGCTGAGGGCATCCATGTCCATAACTAAAACTTCAATGAGTCAAAGACATGGTCGACCTCGTCTGTGCTGCCCTGCCGGCGGAGGACGGCCTCACTCTGACACTTTGTCAGAGTGGTGTCAAGTGGGGTTACATTCAAATGAAGCAGAGTTAAAAGATCTGCACCAATCAAATGACGACACATTAACCTTCGCCCAGACGGTGGTGCTTTGTTGGTCTGTTTGTCAGAAAGTTTAAGGGAAAAATCTGGCCCAAGTGTTGCATGGACCCAGGAAGAACCCATTTAATTTAAGATTGGATCAGATTCTAAAAAAACACTTCAACCAACCTGTGGTAACGCTATTTTATACTGAATAAAACTCAAAAATAAAATAAAATAAATAACCTTTTATTTTTATAATTTCAGTCTTAGCATTTCACATGTGTTTATATTTATCTGATAAGTATCATGGGTTATACACAAATATATGTGCAAGCATTTTAAACATTCAAGAGTTTCAAGAGTTAGGTCAAATATATCCACACATGCATTAGGCTGCACTTGGAGACTTGCATGTCAGAGATGACTGGACTATTGACCTTAGTAGAGGTCAGTGCTGTTAGTGCACGTTCAGCTGCTTATATTGTAAACAAAACAGTCTGATAACCTAAAAAAGAACTCTAGATGTTAAAATTCGGATATTTCTTGAAACTTAGCAGGTTTTTTGGTCAGTCATTGAAGCAGATGTCATTATTGGTCCTTCATGCTTTGGTTCTTAAAAAACAGTTTAACATGATTACAAATATTACTCATGAATTTTCATAGAAAAGCTTGCAGCAAACACCTTCACAAAACTGAACTCCAAAGAAAAAAGCGTAACTTCAAGCATCCACGCCTCCTCATCCTCCTCCCAGCAGAGCAGTCAGAGAGGTGGTGCTGCACATTAACAACACATGAAGCCAAAAAGTAAACACAGGCAAGGTCTCTCTGCATATCCAAGTGGAGGCGTACAGTATTTATGCTCAAAATTCCCAGGCTGCAATTTTGCCAGAAAACTCAGGAATTACTGTCTGAGAAATGCAGAGAGTCAGACTTGGAGAGGGGGGATTTTTTTGTTTTTTTATTTTTTCGGAGGGAGAGCTCTGCCCACATGGTGACACATCTTGCTGGGCTCACACGCTCACACCTAAAATCACATCTCAATGCGCCGCAGATGTGCCTCCCACTCAGCAGCAAAAATAAAACTAATTTTGATGTGACCATATGTCAGCATGACCCAATGTTCTATACTTTGAACAGAAACAGGGGGGGGGGGGTATGAGTGGGTGTATGTTTGTGAATGCATCTGTATTGAGTATGAATATATTATAGTCAAAATCTACCTGAACAATAATTCTGACCATGAAAGGCACTGAGCAGGACATGTTACAGTCAAATCAAACTGTCAGTAATTCATTGTGTTTTCACAGTTCTGCAGAACAGGTCTGCACAATATGACTAAAATATGCAATGTGCGATAACTTTGGTTAATATTGCCGTAACAGTTTTTATGTATTTCTGCTGTTCTTCATGTTTTACATGATAAATGTCCCTTCTGAATCCAAAATAATTTCAAAAAGCAACTGAACCAACTAATCTGACGGTAGATGATAGCTTGCTTGGGGCGCCGGTGGAATAGTGGTTAGTGCGCCTGCCCCATGTACTGAGGCTGTAGTCCTGCAAGTAGGCAGCAAGGCTTCAAATCCGACCTGTGGCTCCTTTCCCGCATGTCGCTCCCCACTTTCTCTCTCATTGTTTCCAACTATGTCCACTGTCCTATCTATAAAATAAATGCACAATAAGTCTAAACTAAATATTAAAAAAAGAAGATAGATTGCTTGAACTTAATATACATCAAAATAATGTAAAAGTATGGACATTGTACCAAAGCTTCCATTGCAATAGATCAAATGTTTGCATGCTGAGCGAAAAATAATTGCTTGATAACTTTAAAAGTGTTTCCTGTTTATTGCAATAATTCAAACTTCTTGTGTTTCCTGCTAATACTCACGTCAGAATAATGGTGACATTGGGACTTAATTGCACAGCCCTACAGCTGGAGTTATCTGAAATGAATTGTAGCAGCTGCCAACTGCAAGTTTGTTTAACTTGTAAGCCTAAATATGCACCAACAGCAGGTGTTTTTTCTTTATTGATTCACCTCTCACAACAAATGAGACCATTTTAAAGACTTTTACTTTCAATTTAAAAACCTAGGACACAGTAAGAAAACATTTTGGGGTCTGGTGATGGGCATTTCCTAACAATTTTTAGAGACTTTGTTAAAACAGACACGATTTCATCATTAAAGTTATTTTGTATGAAATTATAGTTTTGAGTGAAACACTCAGTCCAGGTTTTTTTAGAGTAACGTTGAGCAAGGATGAAAGAAGGATGATGCAAGTTTACTTTAGTACCAAGAACGCACCCTCAACTCCCAGCAGCAACACACACTCAGACATCTTGTATATTCACACACGAAACACACACAAGCACACACACACACACGCACAGCTCTCTAAAGTTTATCAGGTCAGCCTCTGGTGATGAGACATTTTCCCTCTCAGCTGTCCCCTCCTAAGACAAGTGACTTCCCCTTTGGTCTGCCGGTTACAGTTTTTTCCTGTTTATTCCTGAACCCAAATATGACTGCAAACTATGAGTGCAAAGGACTGCATCGTTAATGACTTCTGCAATAAAAGATTTAGACCCCGAGGCTGTCGAGAACAAGCAAAGAACAGCTGAAGAGAAGGGAACAGAGAAAGAAGAGGGCTGGTCGAAGAGAAAGGCGGATAGTGAAAAGATGTTCAAGATAGTGGATTAAAGGTTGACAATAAAACAGAGTGAGATACAGGAGGAGGCAGAGCGACAGGCGCAAAGTTAAAGCAAAGGAGACGAGGGTGAGATGTAGTCTCAGAGAGGCAGCAGGCGTTCAGCTTTAATCTACAGAGACCAGGAAAAGAAACATTACCTACATTTTCTCCCCTGCTGCAAACAATGACCCAGTAAGCACCGAAAGAAAAACTCTACCTCCACTCTCAGCATCATCAAAGAGAATACATCAGGTTATTGTATGTAAAACATGTGGTGCAGAGTTCAGTAAATAAATCATGCTTCGCTGTGCTCCCCTCAGCAGAACAACGACACGCTACACTCCGCTCCATCGACATAGATAACCCCGCCATGAAAAAGTCATGGCAATTAAAACATGCAAATATCTCAAAGCTCTGAAGCCGTGTCACGATTGGTTAAGCACAGACTGTCACATCATAACAAAATAAGAAAAAAAAAACATCAACGAGACGGCTCAGTGTGCAAAAAAAAAACCCAACACAGCTATTTGGGGAGCTGCCAGTAGAGAGGCAACAAGAGGACAATAAAGAAGATTTTCTAAAATGTGCACGCTGTATCATGGCGCATTATGAGTCCAAGAGGGGAGACGGCGTGCACACTGATGCTCCTGGCCATTTAGTTAAGCACGGGACAGAGCAGAAGTAAAGGGAGGAGGAGTGGGAGGAGGACTACATGCATCCCGCTGAGACGTCGCTAGATGAGCCGTTCTACATGTTCGATATGACAGCAGGCCTCTGTGCGCTCGCTGCTGAACAACAAGCCCTCAGCGTTAGTCTAAAAAACGAAATTACAGGAGAGGTTTTGTACAACAGAACAGGAAATCAATATAAACGTAATCAAGGTGATAACCAATACAGCCAGTCAGCGAAAACTAGTATAGCAAGTATGGATGCATTAACATTGAATTGAAAGTTGAGAAATGTACACTATCCCTTTTATACAGAAAGTATACAGTATGTTTAGAAAATGTAAGGATAATGTGGAAAGTATTGTCTATTTTTTAAGATCATTTAACACATCCTTGACTTTAAATAACAGATCAGGATGCATGAATTTCCTTCACAATACAAGAATGTCTTCACCAGATTTCTTTAAAGATATCAAAAACAACGCAACCCAGCTCAGAATAGGAGCACATTAGGGAATTAGCATAATGTTTCTGTGTTACAAATGTTTTTATAAGTATATGCAGCATGTTTAATGACGTGAAAGAGTCATTTAAAGTGGTCCAGTTTTAAAGCAGACTGTTACCAGACCATGTTAAATGTTAGTGCATAAACAACTGACTGTATGTAAAGCTTCATTAGGGGTTTATATAAGGAGCATGTTTGTATTGATTTTTTTTTGTTAGTCACTTTCAAAGTCAAGCTGACTCGGTTTCTCTACAGTTTGCTTCTCCAGTAATAATGACCCAATGAGGTCTTTTATTGCCGATGGATATCCGCTCTCATTTATAAGTTAGACTTTTTTTCAAACCAGAAATGAGAACTTCATTCTTCTGTATAGCTAACGAACAAGACAAAATGTAAACTAATTCAAACAGTGGGGTAACCGCAACGTCCCAGTATGTTTGTTTGCACACTTTGTAGTGATACAATCAGAGGCTGCAATTGCCGTGTCTTTTAATATGAACTAAATATCTTTCACAAAGTGCAGCAGTCTTGTGGAGTATCTGGCTGATTCCCTTCTGGACACACTTTGCCCACACAGACCGGAGAGGAGCAGTGCCATGCCATCGCTGTCTCAGGTTCTTCCTTCTCCAACTTCATGGCTTCTTCTCGCTGCATATCAGTACCAGCTTTACTAAACATTCCTCTGTTTCACATACTTTTACTCTGTAATCTCTCATCCACTCTTTGACTCCAGTGAAGGCCCCATGACTTATTCATGCTGATGGATTTTCCCTGTATACAGCCTGGTCCGTCTTTTTTTCCCACAGTCAGCTCCTGACAGATTTGAAGGAGTGGTCCCACATGCCTGAGTCATGGCAACACCAGTGTGACCCGACCTGCGGCCATGACACCATGTCTTCATGAAACTGGCTGTCAAAGACTTGAGATGAAACACCTCCTCTGTTGGCTTTGTTTACGTGCTTCCTCTGGACAAACAAAACCATTATGAACCAAAAAACGATACGAAACAAAACCATACGCTATAATAACATTACAACACAAGACCATATGATATGGTGTCATACACCTCATATACCATACCATACCATACGGCATACGTGGCCACGATAAGGATAATATCACAATACAACGATTCTGCAATTACTGCAAGACAATCACATAATGATAAATCACGATATCTGATTAACTGAAGAATCCAAAATGTAAAAAAGTAAAGGATGGGGTCTACCAACCCTAGGCTACATTAGCTGCTACTAGCACAACACACATACTGTTCATCTCCAGCCAAAACTATTAGCAGTTTGGTTGCACTCATATAAATGGATGATCTGCATTCATTTTGGCAGTTTTTCTTTGTGGTTTATTGTGAGTATTGTATAGGTCTAAGGGTGAAATGCTAAATGCTAAACCCTAAAAGTTTTAAGGTACACATGCCCCAAAAAATTAGCAACTAGGCCAGGTGGAGCTAACAGTTTAAATTACAATCAAAGTAGCCGAAAAGCTTTACTGATACACCGATTAAAGTGTCAAAATAAATGGTTGAAATGCAAATCAAAGACTATTCCCCTTCTCTCTTCATTTCTCTATTTATTATCTATGTTTATGTTATTGTTGTTCTGTATCACTCGATTCGCAGCTCTCCCTTCCTAATGACGAGTAAAAAAAAAAAGTTGATGAAAAGCAATTGGTGGATCGATACACTTGGCCCGGTGCAACCTCTGATTTGTGAGAAAGCTTCAAAAGTTTACTGCTTCACGTATCAGTTGCCTCTGCAGTCCTCAGAGTCAGTCGATACTTGAAATCCAGCAGATGCAAGGAGAAAAAAAAAAAAAAAAAGCATGTTTCCCTTTCTGATCCAGATTCGTCTCCTCCATTTTCTTCCTCTCACTAATGCACTCCTGTCATCAGGGAGTTGGACAGCATAGTGCAAGCTAACAAAAATCCACAGTGACGGCAAACCTCTCTCTTTAAACCTTAATAACACGGGCAGGGAGCAGTTAGACGGACACAGAAAATGATTCTGTTTCTAAACATCACAAACACAATCATTGAGGGAAACCAGGAGGAAAGGATCAAAAAAATGTTTTTTTTTTGTTATTTGGAACAGTTTGCAAAAGGTAAGGCTTGTATGGAGGTCGGGTATCGAGGTAAAATGATGAAAACGTTTGTCATTTCAAGCAAATGGAGCACATGAGAGTGCATAACATTACCTAGCTTTGAATGGCTTTGGAGGGAAACCATCATAACCTTTTTAGGGGTTTGCCCATGAATTATTCAAAGGCAAGTCAGTGAACAATTGGGGCAGAGCCACAGCTTCCTGAAAATAAATAAATTACAACCCTATACATTTAATAAAAGAGCGAGTGAGGCTTCCACTTTTTCTGCTGCTGCATTCCTCCACTTTCCACATCAGGACGACAAACTAAACTCTCACTTTTCTACATCACAACCCGACCTCCCTGCGATCCCGTCCTCCGCTGAACACAAACACAAGTTGAGGAAAGGGGAGGGGTATTGATTTGAAAAGTGTTCTCTTTTCTCATCTGTGAGGCAGGAGGGGAAGGCCAACTCAAACACACAAACACACACACACACACACACACACATAACTCTTCCCCCCGTTGTACCTTGCAGCTGCCTGAAGCGTCCATCAAGGATGGAGTTGAAGCAGATGTTGGAGGTGCTGTAACTCAGCCAGCGCGCCCTCTTCATACTTTTAGCCGAGGAGGACGAGGAGGAGGAGAGGAGGGCGGGGGGAGGGTGAGGGTGTGAGGCCCTGTGACGTCTTGGGGTGCAGGAGGAGGATGAGGAAGAGGTTGAGGAGAAAGTGGAGAGTCCCACGGGCGCCGCGCTGAGCGGGATGTGCAGGAGGGTGCCGTTCCTCTCTGGGTGGTGTTCAGGTTCCTGCTGCTTCCCTCCGCTGCTGGTTCCCCTCGTGCTCTTCCTGATTTCAGGTTTCTGGGCCCGGTGAACAGGCGGGGTGCTCCTGCTCCTGCTGCTGCTCATCCCGACCCGAACTGGGGGCTCTCTCTCTGCATAAGTCCGGCTGGAAGTGTCCTTGGTGCTGCTCCGGATGGCTGTGGTCTCCCTGCTGCTGGCCTTCAGGCTGATCTTGACCTCTCTGAGCCCCGGTTGGCTTATCGGGGTGGCGCGCAGCAGGCACGGGCTGCTCATCTTGACCCCCCCAAATTGAAAACAACGACGAGAACAACACAGCCTGGAGCCGGCAGAGGAGCTTGGCACTCCACGTCTCTCCTCCTCTCTGTCTCTTGGCTCTCTGTCCTCCTTTCCAGATCCCTCTCGTGCTCACTTCCTCCCTCCCTCCCTTCCTCTTCTTCCTTTCTCACTCTCTCCTCGCTGCTGCTGCTGCTGCCGTGATGATGCTCTGCCTCCACTCTCAGGCGGCACAAGGGCTCAGGCAGGCAGCCTTCAGTTCGGTTCAGAGTGGTTTCTCGAGCCCCATCCATGCATACAATATGTTTCAAAACATCCACGTGCTCCCAGAACTCCCTCCCTCTGCCAGGCACTCCCACACAGTCGTGACATCACTGAATGTGAAATGTAGGACTGGCACAGTTGTGATTTCCTGTGCCAACATTCGGACACAAGACAACCCATCTCAATGTAGCGTGCCTTTACATCGCTTTCATGTAAGGAGCATTGTAAATGGCTAGCTATTCAATATGTCATGTGTAGGCTTGAAGGCATGCTGGGTAAATATCTCTTCACTTCACGAGTTCACAAGCTGTAAATCAGCCGCGGACGTCTTTCAGAGCCTCTCTATCATCCCCGGACTCTCTCTTCACTTTCCTCCACCCTCCTCTCTCTCTCCCTCTGTCTCTCTGTCTCTGACAGGAAACACTGATTGCATTACAGAAGCATCAGTGCAGCAGCACTCTAACACAATATCACAAACACCCACACAGAAGCCCTCATCACTTAAAGAGGCAGAAAGATGCAGCGAGTGAATTGGTGAGAGTGCAGCCGGGGTTAACCGTCTGGACACATCTTTAAGCATCTCGCCCACCCAGATCTAGAGCTGGATATCGAACCTTAACACTTTTTTTTGGAATTGAGAATTATGTGTAGAGAACTGAGTGCAGAGAACGGGGCATCATACAACCCCTGCCCTAAATGTTAAAGATTTTGCAGCCTAAACTAAACTAACAAACTAATTGTTAATTATTGAAAAATCATGAAAAACACAATTCAAAACAAAACAGAAACACTGAAAAACGCAAAACTATTATAACCTTGCTCACTTGTATGTAACGTTTTTTTTTTTAGAAACCCCAGAAGTACCTCCTCCAGAGAGCAGCATCCATGTTTCACCACCTTGTGTTTGACCTCTCTTGTGTCTACAGCTTTACGAAAATAAACATGGTGTGACCCTGAGCTCCCCTTTGCTGTTACTCTTCCTACCACCTCAGAAACACCGCTATTTAAACCCCCCCAGCACCCCCCCCCAGCAGTCCCCCCCCCCCCCCCCACCCCCCACAGGTGGGTCACAGCCTTCCAGCTTAGCCAGAAATGCCAGAGATGTGTGTTATGGGAGGCAGACAGGCAGGGCAGCTGTCCAGAACAGTCAGACACTGTACATTCAGAGAATGTGCAAGTGATCCCAGTTACTTTCAGAGGGCGCGGAGCAGAGTCAGGGCTCAGCTGCTTGGGGGGTGGGGTGGGGGGTGAGGGGGGTGGGGGTGGGGGTGTGACACCAGGAGAACACACATGCACAATAACACCTGCAGAGTTCTAAATGAGAGATCTGCAGTGGAATGAGAGATCACCTGCAGTCTTATGTTGTTTTTCTTCTAAATCAACATCTATGTGAAGGTCAAACAGCAGCTCTCCATTCTAGCTCTAGCACGCTCTAAAAACGACAGTGATCTCAAAAGTCTGTCGCACGCATACCTCTGAGAGGACACAGGCTGTTTACTATGCACGCACTCACCTGCCAGGGCCTTGATGCGCGAGCGTTCAAACAGCCGGGCGGAGCTGTTGTCATTGTCGAGCTCCTCGTCACAGAGCTCGAAGCGGGTGTTGATGCGGCTGTACTGCTGCGTGATCTCCGCATTGTCAAAGTCCGTGGTGGAAGTCATGGCGGTAGCCAGTGCGGCGAGCAGGGGCGACGGGTACAGCAGCGGACGTCCTCAGGTGTTTCTGGGGTGTGAGGGGGGGGGGGAATGAGTGGAGGGGATGAAACGGCAGGATGGACCTTGAAGAGTGGAGGAGCTCTGAAACAGAGGGGACAGACGGTGGAGGTGTTAGAATGACTGATTATGATGATTAACTGGAGTTCAGCACGCACAAAAGGGACGCTGAGGCTTCATTAATAATAAAATTACAGCAGACATCAGAACATAAACACAGAGGACAAAGAAATTCAAAACATCAGCTTTACTCATTTATATGTCGGTTGGATGTTTAACCTTCACTATGAGGAATGATGTTTGTGCAGGTTTAAAAGAATGAAGGTTCTCTGTGCTGTACCTTAAATCTCTTTTTCAGACGTTTACTGAGGACAATAAATGATTCTGTGACATCACCGGGGGTCAAATATCTGAATCACACCAGAGACAAAGTTCTCAGTGGATAAAGAGACATCATTTAATGATGGGATGTAAAGCGTAGTTGCATCGTTATAGTCTGGGTTTTTCACTGACATATAAGGAGTAACAGTGGCCTAGAGGTTAGTCTGTGCGCCCCATGTACAGAGGCTGAAGCCCTCCAAGCGGCGACCTGGGTTCAAATCCGATCTGAGGCGCCTTTACTGCATCTCATTGCCAATTCTCTCTCTCTCTCTTTGATTTCCGACTCTTTCCACTGTCTCTACAATAAATGAATCAAAGCCCTTGAACTTGTAGCTCCTTTTTTGAAAAACCAAATCAGACACAAATCATTATTCAAAGCAGAGTGCTGTGATCAAATGTGTCTGCTCAATATGTTAAACATATGAACTATATGGGGCTCTGTGGTAGAGTCGGTGGTGTCTCAACCGGAAGGTCGAGGGTTCAATCCCCAGCACCTGCAGCCACATGTCCAATGTGTGCTTTATTTCATTCTTTTTTCAAACAAAAATAGCACAGGTTGATGATCGCAGCAGAACAATCGTTTGAGTTTGCTTCTCCTTGAACTCAGTATGATACCGAAGCTAGGTTTTGGACTTTTTTTGTTTTATCTTACCATTCTTTGATATTTAATACACCAAACGATCACTGAAATACTTTAGGAATGTATCTGCAGATATACTGACAACCAAAATAATCATTTGCAGTCCATCTGTAGAGACGAAACAGAAAAAGAATGCCAACTTGTGACACCAGATTGGTCTGTAAGAAGCTCTGTCTCACTGTCATCTGTTTGGATCAGATATTTTACATTTTTCACTCTCACTGTAACGTGATTCTTTCTGCACCTGGCATGAGCATTTTAATTTGGGTAATTTGAAGAACTATACACACTCATAGATGTATTAAAGGTATATAGTCATTCAGAAATCCCGTCTATAACAGCGTCCACATTGCACAGACTCCTGTGCCTCTCGTAATCTCCATTTTGTGCATGTCACTTTGCTCCACTGTCACCCTGCAGTGTGTCTGCACGTCTATTCTTTGTGTGGAATGGCGGGTTGAAGGGTACCCGCTCAGATAGCTCTATCTGTGTGCAGCATAGCTGTCTTATCTTCTCTTCACAGGGGGAGGGGAACCCCCCCTGTACTGCAGAACATGACGAAACCACCGGTATTTGAATGATGCAGCTCACGTAGTTTGAACTGAAGCTCTGTGTGTTTGTGTGCTTCTGTTGGCAGGTGTTTTGGAGCTTTAGAGAGAAAAGTGAAGTGAGGCGGGGAATCCAACTTGTGTTGATGCTGAAGTTCAAAAAGAACAAAGAGAAAGGCCCAGGGCAGTGTCCTTATGTGGCTCAGAATGAAAACTACAATCATAAAATATCTCATATTTTTTTAGATACTGAGAGATTAAAGTGATTTTTATTTATTTAAATATGGACAGTGCACATTAATGAACATAAACATGTAAATATACCAGAGTGTAGCCTGAGGCTAAATTGAATCTGGAGTCCCTTGGAAGGTTGGTGGTACACACATATACAGATTTACATAAATCCACAATGACAAGCAAACACAAACAACATAAACTGTACATTAGCTGACGGAGACAAATATATAAAAGTATAAAAAGTGGCTGTGCGATGTTGGTCAAAACATACCAGGATAAGATGACCTTCAGAGCTAAAGTGCTTTAAAGTGCTGCTACGGGACGTAAAGTGCCGGAGTATTAAAGTGCAAAAGGGCAGGGGTATTGCACATGCTTATGATGTAATCATTGATTTTATTGATGTATTGTTAAAGTACTGATTACGTTATGGGTTTATTGTCTTCTATAAATTGCCTTCTACTGTATATATATTGTCAGAAAAATGGGAAGATGTTGTTCAGTGTTTTACCAAACGCTCAAGATGACATTCTCCAATGTCTTGTTTTGTCTTCAACCCAAAAGCTTTTAGAATTAGGGGAGCTAAGAAACCCGGAAATATTCATATCTAAGTAGAATTAAGGATAGATACGGTAGATTCGGATGAATTTAACCAATAAAAAGTTCTAGCTATATTGTATTTATTGCAATAAAAAGTGTTATCGTGCATGCGCGTCCTTAACATTGTTGATGGATCAGTTGCTGATACTGTCTGGGAGTTTCACCTGTGAAATTGAATCATATTTTATAAGACAATCATATATATTTTGCATTAAAGTGGAGTAAAAAGATCAATAATTGCCCTTTGAAGTTAGTCGGAGTGGTTCCAATGCTTGAACACATTTGTTCAGTTACTTTCTGTCACTGCAGACACAACTTCACAATGTGACTAAAGAGGATTCTGTGTCTATTGTACATTCAGAAAAGAGGCCCTCGGTGATGCACAATATTGGCACCCTACAGTACAAGTCTTCCTCCTCCTCCTCCTCAGTATCAGTCCTCTGCAGACAGCTGTTATCAGTCTGGTGATGCACCACCCACAGCCGGGGATCCCCTTATCACCTCACACACAACCTGGACAGCACTACCGCACAACCATTTACAAACTGTACAAACCGCCTTACACACTGGTCATACCCACAAGCTTCTTCGCTCTCCGTTATATTGTCGGAGGACTGATGC